AATGCAATCCCCGCCATCAAATAAAACGCGAATGAGCCGCCGAACCATTTACTGCCACCAGCGCAACACTTGAGCATTTGGTATTTAAGGACGGATAAATAAGGGCAGAATTGGCAGTGACACCCATCCAGATTACAGAGGACACAGCCATTAAAGGGTCAAACAGCTTGAGGTTATATTCAGATTTTTAGGCCCGGACGTAGATCGATAACGCTTTATGAGCAATACACATTTGTGTAAAGGGGGGAAAAAAAGAAATATATAAAGGGGGGGGGGGGCTGTTGTTTCACACTAATGGAGGCTGCTTGCCATGTTGGCTCTTCCTCCTGTCACGTTGCGGGTGGCAGATTGGCGGTGACGGGGGAAGAAGAAAAAGAAAGGGCTTTTTTTTTGGCCGGGTGAGAAAAAAAAACGGAGAAAAGAAACCAAAATAAATAAATAATGCGCCCGCGCGTGTGGCGGCAGCGACGGCCCTTCCCGGGGCGGGGACTGCGCACATTGCAGGCCTGTTAGCGGGGAAGAATGTCGCCTATCGATCCGAGCGCTGGCGCACAAGGTAAAAGGGCTCTCGATGCACGCTGGCCCCCCGCCTCCCACCCGCCCCCCTCCCCCCGGAGGCCAAAGCCGCCGCCGCCTCCAAACTTTCAGCTAAACGCGGGCGCGCGCCTTCCACGTGAATTTCACCATAAACAAAATGTGTTTGAGATTTTATTCCCAAACGGTTTTCCCTGCCCCCGGGCGAGTGTGCGCGTAGAAAGTAGGCGCCAATTATGAGATTACCGTTCCCGCATAAGAAGGGGGTCTGGCCCTGGTGGGTGCAACGCGCAGCCTCGTTGGCGCTCGGCAACGGGCCGATCGCGCTACACGAATATTTTGTTCGTACATCTGTCTGCAAGGCTCGGGGGAGGGCGAGCGTGAGCTTTGGGGGTGCGGTGGGTGCGCCTCTCGAGTTAAATAGCGTGCACACCAGACTCACATCTGGTTCAGACCTTGTGGTGTCAAGGGCCAGCCTTTTAAGCTGAAGGACTCTGTTAATCTCCGACGAAATGCAGCAGCGGTGGCGGCGCTGGGGAGGCCTAATGGTTTTGGTGTGTGTCGGTGTTTGCGGCTGATAGCCAGCAACTGTCACCGTGCACGTGAGCGGCAGGCAAGGCTTGCGAAAGGGCTCGCCGAGACAGGAGTGGCAGGGCCGGCCTAAAATGGTTCGTCTTTTGTCCCTTGACTGGTCTCTTTCTCTACTTGGAATCTGTGATTAGTAGGAGTCTCAGCTGGGAGGGGCAGGAATCAGCGGAGGAGGGGGATGGGGGGGGAGGGAAAGAATCCCTTGTATTGCCCGTCCATTGGGACACAAGCAGCAAGTGGGAGGCCAGCCAAGGTGCTGAGCCAGCACAATTCAATCGGCTGTGGTCAGTTTAAACTGTGAAAATAAAAATCATATTTTATGAGCATAATGAACATTCTGTTCAATTTTTTTATTTTGCCAACCACATAACAGATTTTTCTCCCGATTCTTTGCGTAATTTTCTCAGTCTCCCCTCTTTTTTTTTTTTGGCACGCGGGGTAGCAATGTTTATACGTTAAACGCCGGCCGTGGCATATTATGACAAAACGAGCGGGATTAGTATGGCAATTACGTAATTAGGAGGCCTAAAAGAAACATTAGCGCCGCTGCGAAACCCTTTCCACCCATAATATTTTCTCTCCCCACCTGGCTTTAATGTAGACGTCAAAGGAAACGGAGTCCAGCCTCGTAAAGTTCCTGACGGCGGACGGTGGCATCGGCCACCGGCGTCCGGCGGAGCGCCGTGACTTGGCACCGACGATTAGCTCGGCCCGGCGGGGGAGCGCCAGCGCTAGTCTCGTTTTGTGAGAGGGCACGCCGTTGCGTTCGCGGCCACCTCCGCTGTGCCCCCGCGCGGCGGCTGACAGCGTGGAATGCGCCGGTGAATTATGACAAACCGCGCGCTCCCCTCCCGCCGTGCAGGACGCCTGCCCCCACCACCTCCTCTTTCCATGCTCACCCCCAGCGAATGACCCCTAACCTCTCCGACGCCCACACACACTCGCACGGGACACGGGAGGAGCCACACGTGTGTGTGTGTGTGTGCGCGCGTGCGTGTGATGTTGCACGTGCGAGTGTATTTGTGCACGTGAGTTTGTTTGTACGCGTTGCGCGTGCGCGTGTGTTTTGTTGTGGCGGTGATGCAGTGATTGGCGAACTGCGCTGTTAACCTGGTGACCCGGGTTCAATTTCTGGCCACGGCTAACACCGGTGGCGAGTGATATCCGAACTGGTCTGAGGCTCCCCTAGGCGGACTCGGTCTTAATTGAGTACTTTGTGTCACACGTAATCATCAGCTACTAGGTAAAGGCGGCTAAGCGTGGGGCTGACCACATCACTTTCAGAAAGGGCGGCGCCGTGTTGGCCTTCTAAACAAATGCTGGCTCACAGCATTTTGCCCCAACATTCTACATGAAGGCTATATTGGGAGTCTTGGTGATTGCGTCATGCGTGTGTGGAGAGTGGCGATGTGATGGTTAGTGCACCTTGATACAATCTTACCAACTGAGGTTCAACCCCTGCCTATAATTACGTCTTTGCGCTGGAAATCCATGCCGAGTCTGAAGACTCTTTTTTTTGTCAGGAGGGGTCCCCTCTGCATTTCAATGTTTGCCCAACACTAGTGGCACCGTGCACGTGATTTTAATTGTGGGAGGAACCCGGAGAAGCCGGCGAAAACCCACGCAGAACAGAGGGAGAACATACAAACTCCACGCAGCAAGGTGCCCCGGTCGGGAAGCAAACCCAGGACCTCCTTTAATGCGTGATTTAGGCAAACTGAAAAGCAGTTATTTTATTTTTACTGCATTCCACCTGAGCTTAAAAGTGTTTGTGCATTGTCTGTGTCTGTCTGCAACCGGGCGAGGGGCTCGATAAACTATCGTAGAAATCATCCCATACGGACGCAACTTTTGTATCAAGTTTGCCGTCAACCATTAGGGAGGGATCAACCTATTCAACAGTGGCCATATTGCAACCGCCCTGCCAACCCGAAAAAGAGCGCCGATTAGTTTTTCCGGACCTGTCCCCTGCATCTTGCCGTGAGTTTTTCCCTGCTTTTGTTGAACGATGTTTCGGCGTGGGAAGTTTGCTCCGCTGTCGCTCTGCACTCCGGGGGTTGAGTTACAAAAGGGACGAGCGGTGGGGGGCGGCTCTTCCCTCGTGCGAGCGAGTGGGCGAGCGTGCCCATCCGCGTGTACTCGTCCGCTCTCTCGCGCTCTCTCGCGCTGAACGATAGGCTCCCGCGGCTTATATTACCACGAGGCGTGATTGTTTTCAGGCAAGCCTTGATTTATCCCCTCTTCATTTGATTGCATGTCCCAGAAGAAAACAAATAACAATGCCAATATTGTGCCCGCCGTAAATACAAGCGCGGGCGGCGTGCACGCGTGCAGGCGTGCGTGCGCGCGTGCGTGTAATTGACCCCCGCCCGGGAGGTTATGTGCGAAGAGAGCTGCCCCCCTCCCTCCACCACTTTCATAGGGTTCCGAAAAATATGGCACGTGAACATTGCGTTGACTTCCCGATCCCACCACCCCCACCACCCCACCCACCCTGCCATGTGGTCCCCTCTTTCTGAGATGTTTGGGTGTCGTGAGACCGACCGGCTGGGAAGATAGGGAGAGACTGACAACGAGCAGAAAAAGAATTCACTTTCAGAAAGGGCGGCAGCAACAGAGAGGCTGCATTGCGATCCCCGTGGAATTCCCACGACACGTCCACTTCCTCAGACCTGAAATTATGGAAGGCAGCAAAGAAATTGCTGAATGCTGCATAGTTTTTTTGCCTAAGTCTTCAATATGAGACTGTCAAAGTGGCTTTGGCAGATTCTTCTGTCAATCGTCTGAAATGTTAATCGAGAAATGAAAAAAAAAAGCAAAGCAGCTCGCGATTGCATTTAAATTGTCAGGCGAAGTAATGTGTCTCGCGCCAAGATAAATATTTAAGTCTGTAAATTTTGTATGACCCTCCCCAATAAAAAAAATCTAAAATCGTGTGCGGCAAAACTGCCCGGTGTTTCCGGCGATCGGCAGATATCCACCGCGCCTGGGTCAAGCCGACCCCCCCGGTGAGAGCGAGGATGCCGCGGCTCCCTGCCGCCAGTCGCGCGCGGTCGCAGCGCTCCACGAGCCGAGACGGAACCACGGACGCCGCGAAAGAAACATGCGGCATCGGTTTCGGCTGCTCCCTCTTCCGCTCCCCTGCGGGGGTGCGGGGGCACATACGACGTATCTCGTCTTGGGGCAGGTTATTTATTTTGTGAATATGATTGTCAGGATTGTTCCGGTGGTGTTTATAGCGCGAAAGAGCGACCGCATGTGATGAGCCGAGACGAAATCTGCACGCTCACAAACGAAAAGCGGTCAGTTTGTTTTTGTTTCCCCTGCGCCTGGAGCCACCTGCAGGACGACGATGACGACAATGATGACGACGACGATGACGACAATGATGACGACGACGATGACGACAATGATGACGACGACGATGACGACGACGACGACGACGTCGGCGGCGACGACAATGATGATGACGACGACGACGGCGACGATGTGCATCACTTGGCCTAACGAGCACCTCGCCGCAGTTTTTGGACGTGACCCGCGGCCGCCGTGCCGGGGGCCGCCAGGTTCCGTTCGTACGATTCTGCTGCGGACCTCCACTAAAAGCTCGTTCCTCAAACCATCAAAACTTGTCCCTCGGCAGCGGCGCTCCCGCGTCACATGTCCTTCTTGCCTGCTCTCCTCCGTGTCCCGCATCGTCAGCGTCTCTCATCCTCCGCCTCTCCCGTCCTATCTCCCATCTCCGCCACCTCCCGTCCTCCGTGTCCCTGTCCGCCGCTGGGATCCGCCGGGTAATCCGAGTGGGTTTCCCTTGGTGCCGGAACAACGGCGGTTCTCGAGTTTCACGGTCGCGCGGTGTCGGTGCGCGAGGACTGCAGGCGAGCCGGGCGAGGAGGCCGAGGGTGGCGCCGAGTTGGCCGGAAATGACAAGTTCCTCGGCGTGGATGGCAGCCTGGAGGAGCAGAAGGCCGGAGACAAGGACCTGGGTACGTTGATCCCCTCCGCCGCCGGCATCTCCAACACACATGCATCACGCCGCTCTGGTCATGAGGCCTGCGGAGAGCACGCTCCGCTCGTCACTGCGGTCGTGCGTGGTGGTGGTGGCCGAGGGTTGATGGATTAGACTACCTTCGCTGCCTCCACAGTGCCGGATTACATGTGTGCGCCACCACCGCCCGCCACCGCCGTATAACAATCCGTCTTTGTTCTACGGTGGTGGCGCATGCCTCCAATTCAGAACTATGCAGGCTGTGAGGGTTGGTGTGGAACAACCTGCCCCTGCGGGCGTCTAGGAGGTGCCATACCCTGGCTTTGCCAGGAGAAGTCGTTTTGGCAAATGTGGACTGATCCCCCTCTGTTACTTGTGCACAGGTTCGAGTGTCGCCCCCCCCCCCCCCTTCCACATGAAACTTTTCTCCAGGTGCTCAGATTTCCTGTAGAAGCTCGCTAATTGGCTGAAACCATCTTGATATGTAGAGGACCCCTGTCGAGCTTGAGCAGTTGGTGGTGCCAGATCATCGCCTGGCTGCTGCTGCCGCCTGCCTGCTCATCTGTGGCTCCGCTTCGTGCCTTTTGAATCGTTCTCTCTCTTCGAGAGCGAGCGAATACTGCGCGGTGCATTACAAGTTGACATTATTATATATATACAATGTGTGTGGCGGTTAGCACGCTGCGCTACGAACCCAGCGACCTGAGTTCGATTCCTGCTCACGGTCAACACCAGTGACAGTTATCTGTACGGGTCGTGGGCCCTCCCCTAGGTCGCCTCACCCTCAAATAAGTACCGCATGCAGTGTGTAAATATCACTACTGGGGAGACAAAGGCGGTCGGACATGGTGCTGGCCACCCACCCCCTCGTGTGCCGTGCCAGCCTTCATAGGTGCTCGCTAATAGCTCTTGCCCCCATGCAGCCTGTGTCTGCTGTAGCTTTGGTTTCGCAGTGGTTAGCGCGCTGCTCTGTGAACCCAGCGACCCAGGTTCAACAGTGAATGATATCGGATTGGGTGCTGGGCCTCCTCTGGGTTTACTGAGTCTTAAATCACATATTTTGTTTAAATGGGACTTTTATGTTTGTATGTACGTTAAACTTCTGTCACACGGTACATAGCCAACCGTGCTATTCGGAGGTGCGTAATCATAAATAGTGATAACCCTTTGTCAAATCACTGCTGGGTGAAGGCCACTCCTCGCCATATCGGTTGTGGTGAAGGATGTTTGGCCATACTTCGCCACATCCGTCAATGTAAGTTAGCGATGTGGGGGGGGGGGGACCTTGACCAGGAATCAAACCCCGGGCCACCGAATCGGTAGGCTGGTGCGCCAACTTGCACGCAATACCCCTACTTATATTTTAGTTTCAAAGTTTTAAAACACATCCGTGTGGGACACGCACACACACACAGACAGCACGTGCTCTTGCCGTGCAGCGGGACGTTACACTTCGAGAGTTTTCTTCTTTTAAATGAAGTGGGGTACACAATGTGCGGCTAGGCCGACCTTTTCTGTTACCCGGGGTGCCCGCCGCAGAGCCCTGTGTGTGTGTTTAGCTTATCTGAGGGTTGCAAAAATCGGGCGATAATTTGTGAAAAGTAATTGGTCCACCGCCCGCCCGCCCACCCGGCCAACCGGCCAACCGGCCGGGGCCCGGCTCGTTCCGCCGGACGACGCTTGCGAGCGGTGAGCGGTGACTGCGGCCGACGTGCGGGCGTATTGAACGTTGGCTAAACGAATTCAGCCCTCACCATTTGTAAAAGATAAAATAAGGTGTTTGACTGTGTCTGACAAGGCCAAGAAATTACATTTGACATCGACAGACCCCCCCCTCCCCGGGTTATTTTCCTGACAGTCTCATTAAAAGAGACTAATTTAACCCGTTTTTAATATTAATGAAAATCCAGGGGTAATGACGGCGGCATTCCACTCCATCTCGCTCTGTCCGCTCCCGTGCTGCTGGTTTTTGAAAGTCTCACATCGCATGATTCATGCTTTTCAAGCCACTGCTCTGCTGCAGAGTGGCAGTGCTGATAAAATATTACTGTTGCATTTGAGTTGATCGGTCCTGCGCAGCTGAGCTGTTGTTCCCATAACATGCCGATCACAAGTGATTTAGATCCGGCTTGACGTGTTCAGCATAAAATTTCCGCATCCGAACCTTACCATTCATGAATTATTCCTCCAGGCTTTTTAACTCGGCGTTATTAAAGCATTTGAAAGTGGGTCACACTCGTGGTGCGCTCCCCTTCCTCCGCGTGGCCCCTCCAGCCTCTCCCCTCTGCATGTAGGTGGTCCCCCCCAGCCTTTGCTTACAGATACACGTGTTGTTTTAGGCCCTACTCAATGTACACAGTCCGCCGATGATAAACAGACCGCGGATGGGAACCAAACCGCACGGGGTGGCTGGTGGTGGGGGGTGGTATGGAAGCGCGACCCCTCCCCCCCCTCCCCGTCAAAGAGGACACGGCCGGGTTCGCCATCTCATTTCCCTAATGTACTTGTTTAGGCGTCGGACAAAATAGCGCGCGGACACGAGTGGACAAATCGCGCCGCGCTCGCCCCCTCGCTCGCTCTCCCTGCCCCTCGTGCTCCATCTCCCTTTCGCTTTGTCTGCCATTTACACACCGCCGACGCATCGCCTCCAGCGACACTGGCTGCCCAGACTGACACGCTCTATAAATTTCTGTCTGCCATTATCTTCGTGTGCACTCTGACCACCGGTGGCAAAGGGGCCATGTCCACGGTTTTGCCGAAGCTTTGGCAACGGCGCTGGCGGCGGCGGTGGTGGCGGTGGTGGCGGCATCACCCTCGTGTGTTTTGTGGTTGCATGTCTGTGTGCGTCCCACGCCGGACAGGGTCGGGTTGTGTGTGCGCGCGCACGTGGGGTCAGGAGGGTGGAGGAGGGAGATAGCGAGGAGGGGGGCTGAGGGAGGGTGGGGGGGTGTCGTGGCTTTTACTGGACCTGACATTTCAATGTCTGGAGCTGTGTGGGTCACGTGTGGTTAAATCAACCCTGTGTGGCGGCGCTCGTCGTGGCTCTGGGGTGGCTGCTGGTTCTGGTGGAACATGGCAGAGTCTTGCTGCGGTCTGTGTCGTGCCATTATTCTGAGTCCACGTCAAGACCACCCAAAGCATAATTCCTCACTCGATATTTTCTGGCCCCGCTGCTAGACGGAACTCGGCTTTTGACAAGTAGCCACAGCCAGTGGCAGAGGTGTACTGGATGCGGTGTGCTGGGTGCAGAAATATTCAGTGGGGCAGCAACCTGGACAGGCCGCAATGCTATTAAGCTGTGAAGCCACCTATTAAGCATATACACTTTAATTCCAAACAATATGGGTTTTTAGTATCTAATTTGGAACCATTCTCATTAAGTTGATGTTTTCACTTGGCAGTGCTGACACGTCTTTATTTTTTAAAAACAACTCGTTTGTATTTATTTTCTTCTGTTTACGTGGCCGCGCAGCGCTGTGTGTGAGCGAGGCCTCTGGCGGACGGCGGTACGGTCACCGCGGTAAACACGCACACACGCACGCACGCGCGCGCGCGCGCGCGCAGAGAGAAGCCAGCCACATTTGGTCACGTCCCATCACTCGACGCCCGGTGGCACGTGCGCTCGAGCTGCGTGGCCCCGATTGCAGGGACAGCGATTATTTTTTTTCACGGATGACGAATCGGCGACGTTGTGAATCCTAACACCTGCCGGCACGGCAGTCCCGCCGGTGGGTCCATCGCCTTCACAAGGGTGCGGCCGAACGGCGCCCGCCCGCTTTCCATCCCGCCCCGTTCGGTTCGCGGCCGACTTATAAATCCCGGGCCCTTCATTTATTATTTAGCGGCAGCGAATGCACACAGACTATCAAGCCGAGGCTTGAAGTGCGGACACGGAATATGACTGGAGGGGTGAATTTTTCCCGCACGTGGCACCAGACGCCTCGCAACGTGTCAATTAGTGCGGCAGTCAAGGCCAGAGGAAGCATACGCGAAAATAATAATAATAATAATAAAACTCCCGGCAGCTGCGGAATAGATTTTAGAATTTTTTTTAACCCCTTTTGTTATCGGAGGGTTGATGGGTGGTGGCATCTGTCAATCAGCGCCGCCGAGTGTGGAGCCAGCGGTTGCCCCCCCCCCGCCATCTCGTCCGCCCCGACCGCAGGAGCTCCCTCGATCCGAGCCGACTCCCGCCAAGGCCGCATGAGCGTCGTCGTCTTTCAGACGAACAGAAAAAAAACGCGCGATGCAAAATCACGGCTTCCACATTCGGCAAAACGGCAACGCAATTTCTGCCGAGGCTATTTTGGTCCGAAAATCTGCCACGTGGGGCCGTATCCAGTCGAGAGCACCTGACGCGGTTCGCGTTTTTATTTGCTGCTGTGGGAATCCTTTCGCCAGCGACGTCCATCTACCGAGATCACAAAGCCCTCCTCCAATGCTTCCGCTGAGCCATAACGTTCATTTGGCCACTGTATTGTAACCTGATTCCTTTTTCCGCACTGTTTAAAGAAGTATATACACGTTGTATATCGTCGATGTGAAGCCGTTATTTATTCCAAAGGATAATTTTCCATATAATTTGTTTGCTTGAATAAAAATGCTAAACCAAGCTTTTGTCTAGCATCCTCCCAGTGCTTAGTTGGCATAATTTTGATTTTACCAATTTCAAGGTGATTAAGCAAAGTTATTCGTTCTCGGCTGTAATTTCTGAACAACTCGTATAATTTTTTTAATAGCACACGACCCTTCAAAAATGCACTGTTTTATATAATCGCCTGGCCCTATAACGGTTTACTCATTTATATTCATTACGAGTGGTTGTCTCCTGCAGAAAACTTGATAGATTTTAATTGGAAATGTTAAAAAACAACTTTCCATACCATGAGCTTTAATGGGGAAATTGAGAGTGCCTTAATGTGGGTGCCAGAGGCTCTCGCTGCTGTACGTTACCCATATGTTAATTCGGCCAATTAACCACATGCTGGCAGCGGTTTTTTTCTTCCCCAATAAGAAGTCAAAACGCATCATTCTCTTAGCCCTCACCAGTGTCGCGAGCTTATTAATCACATTGGCACAGGCATGCGGACTCCCACCCAGCCCAACCGCTGCCCCCTACATCCCAATCCCCCCGCCTCCAACCTCCTCTCACTCTTTCCCACCGAAGAGGCCGCATTCTTAAAAACTCATTTAGGCCAGCTATGCAAATCCTGGGCAAGGGGAAGGGAGAGAAAGTGAAAGAGGGAGGGCGAGCCGGCGAGTGGCTCACTCACTGTACCCAGCCCCTGCGTTATTCTAAACGGCATGTAAATAGCGATGCAATAAAAATTCCCGAGATGGCTGAAGAATCTCTGGGGTGGGAACTTTCCGCGGCGGGACCCACAGCTGTGGCAACAAATTACCACCCCTTCTGTGGCAAACAGAACCATTGTTTATCAAATCCACTTTCATTTTTATTCCTCCTATGTCTCACTTCATGCTAAATTAAGTTTTTATAATTGTGTTTTGTTAATCTGCATTTTTTTTGTAGCTTGGGTCATATAGCCCCAGTGCCTGTACTGGATTTAGTTTTCATGATTTAGTTTTTTTATGATCTTGGGCTTGAGGACGATTTCGGCAAGTGCGGAGCGGTTACCGCGTCGGAAAATTGACAGCGAGCGTAGCGGCCGTCACCTCCCGCGGGTTTCCGCTGCATCCTCCAGCTACTGCGTCTCAACTCCAGCCTTCGCTCATCATTTCCGCTTGGCTCTCTCGACCGTTCAAAGCAACTGATTGGCTCAATGGTTTACAGCTGACTCTCGAACAGTCGCTCTGCAACGGCCACCAGAAGCAGAAGAAGAAGACAATGACGACTCGTTGCACATCACACGCGACTCTCTCACTATAGACTCGTCAAGTGCTACCGCACTGTGCTACATACCCACGGCCAAACAGAGGACCGATTGCCAGCCCACAGGGTAACAAAAGTGGCGAGCGATATCCGAACTGGTTCTGGGTGGCCCTTTTCACCAACTGTACTTCACTAACATGGTTGAAGTATGGCTAAACAACTCGTGTCACCGACACAGCGATTGGAGGTCTTCATCCAGAAATGGTTTTCAAAGATGCGTTTGTTTTTTGTAATGTTGCACGGGGCGTTTTTAGAACGAGGCTGCACGGCTCTGCTCACCGCAATCCCTGGGCACGACATTCTCCTTCCAGGCAGCCAGCAAATAACAGCGCTCGGGACTAGCCCGACGATCGGGAGCAGTGTGCGCCGGTACATTCCCTCAATAACGAACGGCCCAATTTGCTCACGTGAACCTCGTTCATGAGCGCCCCCCCCCCCTCCGCGTTTGTGCGAGAATGAGTTACAGCCGCCGGCTTCCACGCCGTCTCTAAGCGCACGTTGAATCTAAAAAAAACCCACAGCATTCGTCACCCGGCGCTCCCAGGATTGGTTGCCAACAGACGTGCTTGATCACGCTGTCAGATTTTTGACAACACAATTTAGAAATATTTGTTAATTTGACGGAAAACGAAAGCAAAGTGGGGGTAATGACTCCTTTCATTAATCATGTTTGATAATAGATGGTGGCACTGCATCGACGCGCGCGATTGTTATTTTTGTTGTAAGCCGGGGACACGGATTCCTTTGTTATTGCTGGCGTGCCTCCGGTGCGGGGAACGTGTTGTGTTTTGAGAGGCCTTCAAAGCCGTGAGCGGAGCTAAAATATGACGGCGATGCGATTTGCGCGACTCGCGCGCGAAGAGAGCGCTCGTGCCCGTGCGGGCACGCTGCCACGGGAGGGCTGTTTGACTTGGCCGCTGCCGTGCTCGCGCCGACTTCAAACGGTGCGCGACATTCTCCAGCGTCCGTCGGGCGGCACGCGCGCCGCCCGACTCGCGCTCAAGGGTTGCGCAACGCACACGGCATCGAAAAGTTTTTTTTAAAAGCTGCCGATTGGTTTACGCAAGGACTCTGGCTCTCCTGTTTGCAAGGTTGAACGCGTTTTGCAGTTTTTACCCTTTGTCGCGGTATTTCTTACAAATTTCTCTCTAATTAAAAAATAACGCGACGAGCGTTAACACCGGAACTGCAAGCGGGGCTTAGCTGGCTATCGAGTGCGCAGGCAGTGCAACTGGACCGGGGCCCACGGCCAGAAGGGCTTGGGTGCCGCGCGCTACTTCGAGGAGTGAAATTGGACGGGTGTGGGGCCCATTTTCATTTCTCACTTAAACGGGCCCCGCCATGCCCAGCGCATCACCGCACTGAACGTGCACTCTGCGTCCGAACTCGAATCTAATCGCTGAGCAGGTCGCCCAACTGCAGTGTCGCTCGCTGCCGCGAGTCCACGCAGAGACGTTGCTTCTGAAGACGCACGACACAGCCACCGTTTGTGTAATGTTTGCTGGCTCGATTCCCATTTTTGACTGCTCGACTGTACTGGTATACTTTATTTTTTATACATTCACCCACATGCCTTAAATGGTCTCAGTTCATTGTTGTATGGAAAAGCACGAGCAATTTTGCGCAAATGAAATAAATGTGTCGAAGCCCTGAATGTCACATTAATGTCAGAGCCTGCACGCGCGAGGCGTGCAAGGCACGCGTGCGCCAGTGCCATCACTGCCGTCCTTGTAGATCCGCTCGGCCGTGGATTGCCAGCCATTGAAAGCCGCCTTTTGTGGTCACAATGATCAGCACTCAAAAGTTTAATCTTTGTGACATACCAATATCTTCAGTGTCCTCGAGCTAACATTCACAATGATTATCCCCGCGCTTGCCTCTTTGAATAATCACAGCGCTATTTTGCGTACGAACCGAGGCTGCGCGGGCGCCTCTGCCGCCCGTATTGGCTTTGTCCACGCAAAGCTTTGTCTCTTGCGGTCATTTTACCTTAATGCAAAATTCCACCCGATTGGCGTTTTCCTTTGAGTGCCGAGGATAGCGAATCAATTAAGAGGTTATTTAATTATATTGCATCAATGGGAAGAAGCAAAGGGGGAGGATGATGAACAGTAATCATTAATATACTGACGAGTGTACTCGGTGAGCTGTGGATCAGGACTTCTTTGTGCGGGTCTTAACCCGGACCCTCATTTCCTGTAGCCGATGCTCTCGGCTATTATTAACCAATAAGACCACCGCGTGCATCGCCCAGCAATCGATACATCTCTCAACTGCTTCTCCCCCCCCCACCACCCTAATTCCGTCGCGAGCAAGCCAGCCCACTTGCTGACGTGTTGCATTTCATTGTCGTGTCTTGTCTGTCGTGGTGGTGACGGCGGTGGCGGCAACGGGTGGCGGTGGCGGCGGTGATGGTGGTGGCGGTGGATCTGGCAGCCACGGGCTTTGCCGGGAAGGAGCAGCCGGGGAAATCTCCCGTCGGGAAGCGCCCATCGCTGCCAGATGGCGCCGAGGACCCGGGTCCTGCAAAGAGGCCCAAACCCCTGGAGGACAAAACCCCGGCTCATGAGCAGGTGCCAGCGCGTTCCCCACGTTTAAACGCACCATGTCGACAAGCCGCCCCCTCCTCGCCGACGGCGTGCACCCACGGCCCTCGATCACACGAACTCTGCCGTCCTCTTATCTCGCGCCGCCATCACAAAAGGGTGCTTTCCCATCGGCAGGAATGACCGACCGGCGGCTGCCCCTTCACGAAACTGCTGCTGGTACAAGTTAATCTTTGAAATCACATTAGTTTACACATTAGTTTAGAGCATGTGGAGTGCTGTATAAAACCACATCATCAGCAGCTTGATCAATCTACTGCTGCATGAAGGCCTCCCCAAGCCATCTCTCCCGATCCCTCGATGTAATGAATCCACTCGGCATCCGCGTGCGAGCTCTTTTCATCGCCCCGTCGCCGGTGTGGTCCATCCCCCGGCAGCGTCTAGTCCTGCCCTAGGCCTCGCTGGCCACCACGGTGTTTTTCACACGCGTACACCTCGTGGTGCACACGTACACACGGCATCCGTGCATCGTCGCAGAGTCGACGAGGAGCCCTCGCGCATCGCGCGCTCGGCCGCATGGCCGCGCTCCGCGGCCGTGCACGACGCAGGCATCGCTCGGTTCACACCGCCGCCCGCCCCTTCTGCACAGGTATACCAGTGTCCCTACTGCACCTACTGCTGCGCCGACGGGAGCCGCATCCAGATGCACGTGGTGTCGCAGCACTCGGTGCAGCCGGCGCTGCGCTGTCCGCTCTGCCAGGATGTGCTGAGCAGCAAGATCCACCTGCAGCTGCACCTCACGCACCTGCACAGCGTCGCCGCCGACTGCGTCGACAAGCTCATGGCCGTGGTACGGTCGCGCCCCCTCGCCTCCCGTCGATGTCCCCTCCCCCGGGTGTTTGTGTTGTCGTCTCGTGAATGGTGCCTGGCGACGATCCGCTGCCTCTCCCCGGCGCATCGGACCCTGCTTGCGGCACTCCACGGTCGAGGCGGCGTGGGGGTATCGCCCGCCACTGACGGCAGCCGTCGGCGGTGGACTGGAACTCGGGGTTCGTAGCGCAGCGTGCGACCTGCCCGCGTCATTCTTTTTAAACTTCGTAATGTTGATATTTGCGGTGCCTGCGTCTCGTTCACTTGTTCAATAGATGCCCCGCACGAGTAATTGTCACGTAATGCGCGTTTTTGCGTAGAATATTGCACGTGGGGGATGAGAAGTCTTATACGGGTGATTATAGAAACACACCACGATATCACGGCGAGACCTTCGATCCGCCGCCCGACTGCCCGGCACCGAGACTCCGCCACTGCTCCGCCCCTTGCTGGGGCTTGTTCATCGCGTGTCGCCTAATCGGCGTGTCGGTGGCAAATATATAATGGGCAGACCATTGGAGAGAAACGTATTACTGAATTGGGCCTCCTGCACTCTGGATTCTAAGAGCGTTGGTCCTCTTTCCACCCGCAAGCGATTTATTACGAAACCTCCTTCCCCGGCTCCGCCGATTCCCAGCGACCGCGATCTCTGAGAGGGGACACTGGAGCCGTCTGGCCTCGCCAGTCCCTGTTTACGCGTCGCCTGCTCAATGGAGCTGTCGTTGACCTCCCCCGTATGCCAGGAGGTTGCCCTTTCTCCACGCCGCCGCTCTCGCGGTGTCAAACGGATGTCACCTTGCTGTCAATGGCGAGGGCACTTGTGACTGTCTTAAACAGAATTAAGACTTATCTCTTCTCCATTGCGCGCCATTGATTTTGTTTAAAAAAACCCCTTCGCTCTCCCGGCCCATCCCGTTTACTTGCACTTGGTACCATACAGCGCTCGACTTGAATCATTTTTCAAGGTTCGGGGAAATTATCCGTTCTTCATTGACTTTTACGTTTTGAATGTGGCCTCGCATTCCTATGAAAATACGAAAGAAATTATCCTTGGCTATGAATGAAGGGGGATAAGGGGAGGTTTGATTGACACGAGTAGAGACTGCAGGGAAATACTTGACACTTGACCTAGCCTTGATGTGTGCGTGTCATCGTGATAGCGCCGATTGTAAAGAAATGTCCAATTTTCAATGAGGTAATTCAAATTCTATGAAAATTCATAATTGAATGCACTTACACGGCATCCTCGGCCTGTGGTACAACCACCGCCCACGCCGCCCTGCTCCTCCTAAGTGCGTTGTGGAGAGTCTGTGTGGTGAGACTGTGTGGTGAGTCTGTGTGGTGAGTCTGTGTGGAGAGTCTGTGTGGTGAGTCTGTGTGTGGAGAGTCTGTGTGGTGAATCTGTGTGGTGAGTCTGTGTGGTGAGTCTGTGTGGGGAGTCTGCGTGGTGAGTCTGCGTGGTGAGTCTGCATGGTGAGTCTGCGTGGGGAGTCTGCGTGGGGAGTCTGCGTGGTGAGTCTGCGTGGTGAGTCTGCGCGGTGAGTCTGCGTGGTGAGTCTGTGTGGTGAGTCTGTGTGAGCATCTGTGTGGAGAGTCTGTGTGGTGAGTCTACGTGGTGAGTCTGCGTGGTGAGTCTGCGTGGTGAGTCTGCGTGGAGAGTCTGCGTGAAGAGTCTGCGTGGAGAGTCTGCGTGGTGAGTCTGCGTGGTGAGTCTGCGTGGTGAGTCTGCGTGGTGAGTCTGTGTGTGGAGAGTCTGTGTGTGGAGAGTCTGTGTGGTGAGTCTGTGTGGTGAGTCTGTGTGAGAATCTGTGTGGTGAGTCTGTGTGGTGAGTCTGTGTGTGGTGAGTCTGTGTGTGGTGAGTCTGCGTGGTGAGTCTGCGTGGTGAGTCTGTGTGGTGAGTCTGTGTGGTGAGTCTGTGTGGTGAGTCTGTGTGGTGAGTCTGCGTGGTGAGTCTGCGTGGTGAGTCTGCGTGGTGAGTCTACGCGGAGAGTCTGCGTGGTGAGTCTGCGTGGTGAGTCTGCGTGGTGAGTCTGTGTGTGGAGAGTCTGTGTGTGGAGAGTCTGTGTGTGGAGAGTCTGTGTGTCGAGAGTCTGTGTGGTGAGTCTGTGTGGTGAGTCTGTGTGTGGAGAGTCTGTGTGGAGAGTCTGTGTGGTGAGTCTGTGTGGCGAGTCTGTGTGGTGAGTCTGTGTGAGAGTCTGTGTGGGGAGTCTGCGTGGGGAGTCTGCGTGGTGAGTCTGCGTGGTGAGTCTGCGTGGTGAGTCTGCGTGGGGAGTCTGCGTGGTGAGTCTGCGTGGTGAGTCTGCGTGGGGAGTCTGCGTGGTGAGTCTGCGTGGTGAGTCTGCGTGGAGAGTCTGCGCGGTGAGTCTGTGTGAGAGTCTGTGCGGTGAGTCTGTGTGGAGAATCTGTGTGGTGAGTATGTGTGGTGAGTCTGTGTGAGCATCTGTGTGGTGAGACTGTGTGGTGAGTCTGTGTGGTGAGTCTGCGTGGTGAGTCTGTGTGTGGAGAGTCTGTGTGTGGAGAGTCTGTGTGGTGAGAATCTGTGTGGTGAGTCTGCGTGGTGAGTCTGCGTGGTGAGTCTGCGTGGTGAGTCTGCGCAGTGAGTCTGCGTGGTGAGTCTGTGTGTGGTGAGTCTGCGTGGTGAGTCTGTGTGTGGAGAGTCTGCGTGAAGAGTCTGCGTGGAGAGTCTGCGTGGTGAGTCTGCGTGGTGAGTCTGCGTGGTGAGTCTGTGTGTGGAGAGTCTGTGTGGTGAGTCTGTGTGAGAATCTGTGTGTGGTGAGTCTGTGTGGTGAGTCTGCATGGTGAGTCTACGCGGAGAGTCTGCGCAGTGAGTCTGCGCGGTGAGTCTGCGCGGTGAGTCTGTGTGTGGAGAGTCTGTGTGTCGAGAGTCTGTGTGGTGAGTTTGTGTGGTGAGTCTGTGTGAGAATCTGTGTGGGGAGTCTGCGTGGGGAGTCTGCGTGGTGAGTCTGCGTGGGGAGTCTGCGTGGGGAGTCTGCGTGGTGAGTCTGCGTGGAGAGTCTGTGTGAGAGTCTGTGTGGTGAGTCTGTGTGGAGAATCTGTGTGGTGAGTCTGTGTGGTGAGTCTGTGTGAGCATCTGTGTGGTGAGTCTGTGTGAGAGTCTGTGTGGTGAGTCTGCGTGGTGAGTCTGCGTGGTGAGTCTGCGTGGTGAGTCTGCGTGGTGAGTCTGCGTGGTGAGTCTGCGTGGAGAGTCTGCGTGGTGAGTCTGCGTGGAGAGTCTGCGTGGAGAGTCTGCATGGTGAGTCTGTGTGTGGTGAGTCTGCATGGTGAGTCTACGCGGAGAGTCTGCGCAGTGAGTCTGCGCGGTGAGTCTGCGCGGTGAGTCTGCGCGGTGAGTCTGTGTGTGGAGAGTCTGTGTGTCGAGAGTCTGTGTGGTGAGTTTGTGTGGTGAGTCTGTGTGAGAATCTGTGTGGTGAGTCTGTGTGGGGAGTCTGCGTGGGGAGTCTGCGTGGTGAGTCTGCGTGGAGAGTCTGTGTGAGAGTCTGTGTGGTGAGTCTGTGTGGTGAGTCTGTGTGGAGAATCTGTGTGGTGAGTCTGTGTGGTGAGTCTGTGTGAGCATCTGTGTGGAGAGTTTGTGTGGTGAGTCTGTGTGAGAGTCTGTGTGGTGAGTCTGCGTGGTGAGTCTGCGTGGTGAGTCTGTGTGTGGAGAGTCTGTGTGTCGAGAGTCTGTGTGGTGAGTTTGTGTGGTGAGTCTGTGTGAGAATCTGTGTGGTGAGTCTGTGTGGGGAGTCTGCGTGGGGAGTCTGCGTGGGGAGTCTGCGTGGGAGTCTGCGTGGGGAGTCTGCGTGGGGAGTCTGCGTGGTGAGTCTGCGTGGAGAGTCTGTGTGGTGAGTCTGTGTGGTGAGTCTGTGTGGAGAATCTGTGTGGTGAGTCTGTGTGGTGAGTCTGTGTGAGCATCTGTGTGGAGAGTTTGTGTGGTGAGTCTGTGTGAGAGTCTGCGTGGTGAGTCTGCGTGGTGAGTCTGCGTGGAGAGTCTGCGTGGTGAGTCTGCGTGGTGAGTCTGCGTGGAGAGTCTGCGTGGTGAGTCTGCGTGGTGAGTCTGCGTGGTGAGTCTGCGTGGAGAGTCTGCGTGGTGAGTCTGCGTGGAGAGTCTGTGTGTGGAGAGTCTGTGTGTGGAGAGTCTGTGTGTGGAGAGTCTGTGTGGTGAGTCTGTGTGGTGAGTCTGTGTGAGAATCTGTGTGGTGAGTCTGTGTGTGGAGAGTCTATGTTGTAAGTCTGTGTGGTGAGTCTGTGTGGTGAGTCTGCGTGGAGAGTCTGCGTGGTGAGTCTGCGTGGTGAGTCTGCGTGGTGAGTCTGTGTGGAGAATCTGTGTGGTGAGTCTGTGTGGTGAGTCTGTGTGAGCATCTGTGTGGAGAGTCTGTGTGGTGAGTCTGTGTGGGGAGTCTGCGTGGTGAGTCTGCGTGGTGAGTCTGCGTGGAGAGTCTGCGTGGTGAGTCTGCGTGGAGAGTCTGCGTGGTGAGTCTGCGTGGAGAGTCTGCGTGGAGAGTCTGCGTGGTGAGTCTGCGTGGTGAGTCTGCGTGGAGAGTCTGCGTGGAGAGTCTGCGTGGAGAGTCTGCGTGGTGAGTCTGCGTGGTGAGTCTGTGTGAGAATCTGTGTGGTGAGTCTGTGTGTGGTGAGTCTGTGTGTGGTGAGTCTGTGTGTGGAGAGTCTGCGTGGTGAGTCTGCGTGGTGAGTCTCACCTCGCTCTACCCCCAGGCCCCGTGTGCTCTCCTATCTGGAGCGATGCGTTGATAATATTATTGTGGAATTAATAGCGCAGTGTGTTTTAGGTTTTCGTCGCAATGTTTTGTTCCTTCAGTTTTAAGTTGGCTTTGCGAAGCACCTCGAGTTGTGGTCGTGTTTAGATGCTATATTTGTTTTTTGTATGTATATTTAATCCTGTTTGTTATTATTGGTTTACACTCCGCTGTGTAGACCGGCATCATATTGCGTGTGTTTGGAGCTTCCACTAAATCTCATCGCGCATGGAACGGCGGTGGAGTGGTCAGCGCAATTCGCTACGAACCCGGTGGCTCGAGTTCGATTCCCGTTCACCGCCAACATCGGTAGAAAATATCCAAATCGCTGCTGGCGTCTCCCCTAGATCAACTCGGCCTTAACGAGTACCCAGTGCGGTGTGTAAACATCAGCACTGGGGAGATGAAGGTGGCCGGGCGTGGTGCTCTTGCCAAGTCCAAACACGTGAGCTCGGAGGTGGCGCCAAGTGTAAAAACGGGAACTGCCCAAGTCCCGTATCACCTGCCTCAGTGAAGCTTGCGAAGATAAGTCGATGCCTAAAATGTTACCGTTTTAGCTTCATCGCCGGCTTCATCACCGGCTGCATCAGCTGGCTTATGGCCATAATGAATATGAGTTATTCAATATTTTATCCCTCCCCAGGCAAACATTGTCCCATTCAAATGTCAGGCAAGGGGTGGGCAGGCTGTGATTTACATGTTGAATCAATATGGATTTTGGAACCGCTGCCCTTTTCAAAATTGTTATATAAGCTTCAACAACGCTATTTTGGAAATTATTCATAAACACCGGTAAAGGTCTAAGGTCCGAGAGAGGGAAAATGGGAGGACAAAAAATCCGTCGTGCTCTTAATGCGCGGGTCTTCCATTAGAAAAAAATATTAAATGTTGGAATAACAAGATGAGCTCCCCGACCGCACGGCCGGCTCGCTCCCTGTTGGAACGCCGCATTCCCCTCGCATCTTAATTGATGGCCCCTCGCGAGGTGAAAAGGCGGAAGCTGTGACCACGTTGTGCGATGCAAGGCCGCCCCCCGTGTTTAAATTTATTACGGCACGAGACACAAACACACCTAAGTTCAGACCCGAATGAAGACCCCCCCCGCCCCCCACCTGCTTGAATTAAAGGACTGAAATGGCTCCAAGGCAAACGCACTTTGTTTGTTGTAATAATCGATCAAATGATTCGGCACAAAGAATCCCGTGGCCTCGCCGCAAGTTGTTACAGCTGCAGCTTCATAAAAAGGCCCCATTCATTAGTTGCTCCTCCTCGGGCCGTTCCGCAAAGCATTTGTACAGCTGGGAGCTGTATATTAGTTCTACTCGGCAAAGTTATGCGGGGACCCCGCTGCATTCGGAGTTCTAATTAGCATCCGCGCCGCTCAGCCCGACACCTTGAAGCAGTCGTGACAAATGGGGGGGCCATTCTTGCTCAAGTTATCAAGAAAATGGGGGGGGGGGGGGCGCGTAAAAAAAACGCACTCATTATCATGCCCTACGGTACGGAACAAGAAATGCATCAGAGTGAATTCCGTGGACGTGAGTGGCAATCCCGATCACGTCTGTTGTATATTTTATGCAAAACCAGTCACAGTCTGAGGGAGAGATTCAATTTTCGCTTCATGCATTTCCGTTTCAACTCGCCGCACAATTGAACGCAAAATTTAAAAGTCGACGGTCAGACGAAAAAAACGTGAACTGCAGATGAGTAAATAGTTTATTTTTTTTGTTGCCATAGCGTACAAACAGAAAGTTCCGAGAAATTGCACGTGCGCAGCAGACGCGTTGCGCAGCAGACGCGATCTGCAGCAGACGCGATAGCGCAGCAGACGCGATAGCGCAGCAGACGCGACGTGCAGCAGACGCGAAGTGTAGCAGACGCGTAAGCGCAGCAGACGCGATGTGCAGCAGACGCGACGTGCAGCAGACGCGTTGCGCAGCAGACGCGATGTGCAGCAGACGTGACGTGCAGTAGACGCGATGTGCAGCAGACGCGATGTGCAGCAGACGCGTCGCGCTGCAGACGCGATCCGCAGCAGACGCGTTGCGCAGCAGACGCGATTGGCGCAGCAGACGCGATGTGCAGCAGACGCGATGTGCAGTAGACGCGATGTGCAGTAGACGCGTCGCGAAGACACTTTGCATGGACACGCCGTACAGCAGACACGCCGTACAGCAAACACACTGCACAGACTCGTCGTACAGACGGCCTCGTTCGCCGCGGGGATCTTGTTGTTGCGAGGAACACACGAGATATCATCGTCTCACGCCTTCCGCAGCACGACCTTGATTATTAAAGCAAAACCTCCTCGGCAGTCGCATTAATGAGGTGGGTCAGGAGCAGGCCTCCATGGCCCCCATCTTCTATTGGGACGCCTTTTTTTTTTTCCACGGGCCCTGCCGCCTCCCTCGCCTTTATGAAATTTTAATACCGCTCCGCTGAAAAACGGCCGCCCCTCCACCCACGAGGGGAAGCGCCGGTGAGGCCGTAATGAGAGTGCACTAAATCACCAAGAGGTTACCCTTCCTAGCAAAGGTTGCGCGGCTGCCCGTCGCAGCCAAGTAATGAATTGGCTCCCTCTAGGTTTGTCTTAATTTTCTGCAGAATTTTGTTTTTACTCTTTTATATTTTATCCTTGTGGTTTTTGCTGATGGAACGATTTTGTCAGTTGCAAATATTTTTCTGTGCGTACAGCGGAATGGCCAGAGATGGTGAGGGGGGGGAGATGGCGGACGTGGGAGAACGCTGTTTCGTGATGCGCAGCCCGTGTGTGGCGGTTGTGTAATTATTTCTTGAGCGCGCGCACGAGCGCTGCGCTTCTCGCGAAGGCTCGCCGACCCGCGCCGGTATAAGTGAGATCTCTTACAGAATCTTTGGGGGGATATATTGGCCACTGAAGTACACGGCAAATAAATTAGACGCTGCCATCATATTTCCTCATTAACTGTCACTTGGAAACAATGGATTGTGTTTCTATTAGCGGCTGAGAACACGGGGTTATTTCCCTCCGTAATAAGACTCGATAGTGTGTTTATTATTTTACTCGGGATTGTGTGAGAGCGGAGCAGCTAGATAAATATACGCATGTTTTCGTCGTGATCGCAATTCATATCGCTTAAATGCTACCGTTCTGAGCGATTAGTGTTGGGTAACGATAAATAAAAAACACACCGTGCACGTTTCGTGTCTACGCGTGAATGTATTACACCGTTTGGTCCGTCCGTTTTATTGGCCCTTTAGACTTGGGTTCACCGGCAGCAATCGTGTTTTAGCGAAAAAACCTCTGCTGTACCGGTTTCAACGTCATGGGCCTCATCAGCAGAGGTGCTGGGCAAATACTGTTCGGCCTGTTATTCGCCGGAGCACTCCTCATCGGAGCAAAACGCATTCGTGTATGAACATTGTGGAAACGCTTTCCTATCCGCATCCCCCGCTTGAAAGTAAAATACTTTGCATTCTCTGCCACCCTCCGGAGCGGCGATAACCGCCAGCTTTTGTTTAAGCAAGCAAACCATATCGTGTTAGTTTCACTCTTTGATTATTTTTTTTAGGATTAAAAAAATAAGCACAAAATGAAAATAGAGCAATGTGATCATTGTAAGCGTAGCTACGTGACATTAAAACATCTTTCTCATAAAGGAACCTTAAAGTATATACGGCCAAAAAGATAGAAATCTGTAAATGCGGTGTGAAAAATAGAGACGTGAATGGTAAAACAACCTTCTCATTACCATTTACATAGGAGCCTTCTCAATTATGCCTCTGGTAATCTCACTGCAATTATGTGAGTAATTAATTTATATCAAGTCATTATTCTGTCCGGACAAAACTCCAAAGTGCCACATCATTGTTTCTTTTCAACGGGGTACGAAATGAACCCATAATTAAGACCCATTGCCTTTTTACAAAAAAAAATGAGAAAGGTGCGTGTGGCATTTTGCACTAATTCAGTCAAAAGAAAATTCGTGAATGGATCCTCGGAAGCAGATGCTGCATCCATTGTGACCTCCGCGAGTGTGCAGGTAACGAGCGGCTCTCGCCGTCCACCTGAAGGACAAAAACAAAGGTGCTCCCGGCTTCCCGCCGAGCAGAAAAAAAAGGGCTTTGTGAAATTGCATTTAATACCCTCCTCCTCCTCCTCTTCCCCTTCATCGCGGCCGGCTTGACACGGGCTCGTCGGGGCTGGCCGCTAATCAGTGCGGCGGTGGCGGCGCGTGCACCCGTGCCGTCTCCTGCAGGTCTCGGGGCCGGAGGTGATGGTGCCGAGCAGCACGTACCTTTCGACGGCCGGAAATGCGGTGACGGCGGCGACGACGGCGGCGACCGCGACGGCCACGGCCACCACCACGGCCGTTGCTTCCTTGGGATCGTTGGCGGCGGTGCCGGTATCCGAGAGGGACGGCAGGATACCGGGGTCGGCGGTGCTCGAGAACCGGGCCAAGATGGGTGAGGAACGCCGCGGTGTTTGCCTGACGCAGCTTGTGCGTGACATGTGCAAGGTAGCGGCGGTCTTCGATCTGTAGAGGCTCTCGGCTGGACACGTTCAGCGTGTGGCGACGTGTGCTGCATGTCAGAGAGAGAGACGCTGGTGTAGGTTGTAATGAAAGTAAAAGTAAAAGCATTACGGGTTATTTCTGGCGAAAATAAATAAAATGTATTACATCCAGTGTATGATTGTTATCTTCAGAGGCTACAGTAAATACATATACCATTTTACTTCAGTTAATAATTTGCGGTGCCGAATTTTTATTTATTTATGGCTTTTTATTACTTCTGTGTGGCTGATTATGTGTTGCTAGCGCCGTGTGTGGAAACAAAACCGTCCATCACAATCGAACCCAACGTTTGTGTTTTAAAAATCATACGCATGGCATTGTGGAGGAAACGCTTAACTTCTCCAGCGCGTTGACCGATGCAGCCGTGAGGCTTGTTCGTTCCGTAGTAACGTCGATGCCATCGCGCGTTTCTTCCAGAAGAAAACTTGGACGACCCAGAGAAGCCCGGCACCTCTCAGGAGCGGCCGGAAGCCGGCGGGGCGCCACAGAGCTCGCAGAAGGGCTTCCTCTGCTGGAAGAAGGGCTGCAACCAGTACTTCCGCAAACCCAGTGCACTGCAAGCCCACTTCTCCGAGATCCACGCCAAGCAGCGGCAGCAGCTGCCCGTGTCCGACCGCCACGTGTACAAGTACCGCTGCGGCCAGTGCAGCCTGGCGTTCAAGACGCCGGAGAGACTGCAGCTGCACTCGCAGTACCACGCAATCCGCGCCGCCACCGTCTGCGCCCTCTGCCAGCGCAGCTTCCGCACCATCGCGGCGCTCGGCAAGCACCTGGAGACGGGCCACCCCGAGTTGAGCGAGGCCGAGATCCGGCAGCTGTGCGGCGGCCTGCAGGGCAACGGGGAGCTGCTGGCGCTGGAGGAGGGCCTGGGCAACGAAGACGAGGTGGCGCTGCTGGCGGAGCATGACAGAGGGGACGAGTTTGAGAGCGACGCCGAGAGCAAGCAGAGCCCGACGGAGAACGAGATGGGGGGCGGCCCGGACGACCCGTCGTCGGACTTGAAGCGCACGCTGCCCTTTCGCAAGGGCGCAAACTTTCCGATGGAGAAGTTCCTGGATCCCTCGCGGCCGTACAAGTGTACCGTCTGCAAGGAGTCGTTCACGCAAAAGAACATCCTGCTCGTCCATTACAACTCGGTGTCGCACCTCAACAGGCTGAAGAAGGCCCTGCAGGAGACATCGATCGCCAGCGCGCAAGCCGACTCGGCACCAAGCGGCATCGACAACAAGCCGTACCGCTGCAGCACCTGCAACGTGGCCTACAGCCAGAGCTCCACGCTTGAAATTCACATGCGCTCCGTGCTGCACCAGACAAAGACGCGCGCCGCCCTGCAAGAGTCGTCGGTCGCGAACAGCGCGTGCGGCGCCACCGCGCACGCCGGCACCGGCGTCGCCGCCTGCAGCGGCAGCAACGGGAGTGGGAAGAAATTAAACAGCGGCGGCGGAGGCGGTGGCAACAAGAGCGCCGGCAGCCCGTCGGCTGCGGAGAGTGGCGGCAGCGGTGGCGGCAAGGTCCCGGGCCGGGCGTCCACGAGCAAAACCCCCGAGCTCACGGCAGAACAGAAGCAGCAGCAGCAGCAGAAGAAGAAGGCGCTTAGCGACGCGATTTCGAACCAGCAGGCGCTGGTTCAGGCACAGACGGAAGCGCTGGCTCAGGCACACGTGCAAGCGCAGTTCCAACAGGAGCTGCAGCAGGCGGCGTTCCTGCAGCCGCAGCTCTTCAACCAGGCGCTCTTCCCAAATTTCCCCATCACCGCCGAGGCGTTCATGCAGCTGCAGCAGCAGCAATTCTTCTTCCCCTTCGGCCTGGCCGGCACCGATTTCCAGCTGCACCCAGAGATGGCATTCCCCGCGTCGAGCGCTCTGGCAATGTCCAGCTCGGCGGCTTCGACACTTGGCGAGCTGAAGCAGCAGCAGCAACAGCAGCAGCAACAACAACAGCAGCAGCAGCAACAGCAGCAGCAGCTGCAGCAGCAACTTCAAAAGCAGCAACACAGGCTGGAGCAGCAGCTGCAGGTGTCCATCCAAGCGGCTGAGAAGCAGAAAGAAAATGAGGACTCAAAGAGTGGGGAGGCAGACGAGGAGGAGGAGGAGGCGGATAACGACTCATCGATGGTGGACACGCAAACGAGTGGCGACAATTCGGACGCTCAGAAGTCGGGACCGTCGGACCCGTCGCTGCTACCGCCGCGAATCCCGGCCTACGCCAGGGGCAATGCCACGAGGGCGCTGCTGGAGAACTTTGGCTTCGAGCTGGTGATCCAGTATAATGAGAACCGGCAGAAGCCTCTCCGGAAGGACAAGAGCGTGATCTGCGAAACACTGGGGAAGTTAGAATGTGAAACGTGCGGCAAGCTCTTCTCGAATCTGCTGATCCTGAAGAGCCACCAAGAGCACGTGCACCAGCAGTTCCTGCCTTTCGAGGAGCTCGAGAAATACTCGAAGCAGTACCGAGAGACCTACGACAAGATTTACCCGATACGCGCCCCGACGCCCGAGCTACCAGCTCTGCCCCCGCCTCCCCCTCCTCCTCCCCCTCCTCCTCCGCCGCCTCCTCCGCAGCCAGTCCAAAAGCTCGCCACCCCACCCGGCACGCCGCCGCAGCCACAGCCGCAGCCGCTGGCCCAGCAGCAGGCGCCCGTGCCGCAGCTGTCCATGTCCATGGAGTCGATGCCCCTCCTCTCGCCGCTCATGATGCAGCCGATGCAGCTGCATTCGATGGCATCGCAGCTCGCGTCGCAGCTCATGCCCATGGACTCTCTCACCCCGGACCTGATACAGCTGTACCAGCAGCACCAGCAGCAGCAGCAGCAGCAGCTTGACCCGGCGTTCCTGCTGCAGCAGCAGCAGAACAAGCGGCCGCGCACGCGCATCACGGAGGAGCAGTTGAACATCCTCCGAGCGTACTTCGACATCAACAACTCGCCGGGCGACGAGCAGATCCAGGAGATGGCCGACAAGTCCGGCTTGCCGCAGAAGGTCATAAAGCACTGGTTCCGCAACACGCTGTTCAAGGAGCGCCAGAGGAACAAGGACTCGCCGTACAACTTCAACAACCCGCCATCGTCGAGCCACGACGAGATCAAGCTCGATTCGCAGCCCCCGACGCCCGAGTCGGTGCAGTCCGAGCCGTCGTCCATGAGCAAGCGGTCGAGCCGCACGAGGTTCACCGACTACCAGCTGAAGGTGCTGCAGGACTTCTTCGACACGAACGCCTACCCGAAGGACGACGAGCTGGAGCAGCTGTCGAACCTGCTCAACCTGCCGACGCGCGTCATCGTCGTGTGGTTCCAGAACGCCCGGCAGAAGGCGCGGAAAAGCTACGAGAGTCAGGTGGAAGGCAAGGAGGGGGGGGAGAAGAGGGAACTGCCGACCAACGAGCGCTACATTCGGACAAGCAACCTCAACTACCAGTGCAAGAAGTGCAGCGTCGTCTTCCAGCGCATATTCGATCTGATCAACCACCAAAAGAAGCACTGCTACCGGGACGAGGAAGACAGCTTCACCCGCGAGGACAGCCAAACGGAGGACTCCATGGACGCCACCGATCAGGTCATGTCCAACGACCTGCCGCCGTCTCTGTCGGCTCACGCGCAGGCCACCGGCCTCTGTAACTCGGAGAGAGAAGAAAGCAAGAAAACTATTCCCAAAGTCGAGCCTAGGGAGGAAAAACCAAAGCAAGCTGACGCCGCTCCTGTGCCGCAGGAAAGCACTGCACAAACACAGCAGCAGCAACAGCAGCAGCAGCAAAAACCAAAACACGCACAACCTCAGCCGCAATCTAGTCCCCAGATGACTCGGCAGGTACCGCAGAGTCCGGTCCAGAGCATGGTGACTCCTCAGCTGAACAATCTGCCCGCCCAGCTTCTTCATTACCAGTGCGACCAGTGCAAGGTCGCGTTCCCTTCCTTCAACTTGTGGCAGGAGCACCAACGCATGCACTTTTTGTCGGCGCAGAACCCGTTCGTCCACCCGGCCGCGTTCCTCGACCGCTCCATGGAGATTCCCTTCCTGCTCTTCGACCCCGGCTCCAGCGCGCTCATGTCAAGCCCCATGCTCTCGGGGGCCCTGCCGCAGATCCCCTCGCAGTCGACGCCATCCCCGTCCACCCCCACGTCTGCCACGGGGCCACCCAAGCCCGAGGAGAAGGCGGGCGCCAGCAAGAGCGACACGGACGGCGGAGAGGAGCCGCACCGGGACAAGAGGCTGCGCACGACCATCACGCCGGAGCAACTGGAGATCCTCTATCGCAAGTACATGCTCGACTCGAACCCCACGCGCAAGATGCTGGACCACATCTCCAACGAGGTGGGCCTCAAGAAGCGCGTGGTGCAGGTGTGGTTCCAGAACACGCGCGCACGCGAGCGGAAGGGCCAGTTCCGCTCACTCGGCCCGGTGCAGGTGCACAGGCGCTGCCCTTTCTGCCGTGCCCTCTTCAAGGCGCAGACTGCCCTGGAAGCCCACATCCGGTCCCGCCACTGGCACGAGGCCAGGCAGGCGGGCTACAGTATTGTGCCGACATCGCCCGGCGCCGGAGAGAATCCGCACAAGGATAACCCCTTCGATCACGGCGACTTCTCCTTGTCGCTGTCCCACTTTAATAGCTCCTTCGACCACGAGCATCAGTCGAGTCTGATGTCGCTGATGAGTAAGTCGATGGAGGTGCCCAGCCACGCTCTCCTGAGCCAAATGTCCAACAAGAGCGAGACCTTCGACGTGGACAATTCCTCGCTCGCCAACGAAACGTCGGCGGGCGCAGCCGAGCCTCCCGGCGGCGGTGGCGGCGGCGGCACTGACGACGAAACTCCCGCCGGAACCTCGGCGAACGTGAGCTACGAGCAGAGCAAACTGGACAACGATGATGCCTCCTCGGTGAACACCGCCATCACCGACCACACGACCGGCGACGAGGCACACGGCGACAACGACGTCTCCAGCGGCACCGCCGCCACGCGCGCAGACGCGAAGGCACGGGGCGCGCGCGTGAAGAGCGAAGACTCGTTCCTGCCGCCACTCCCGGCGGCCGAGAGCAGCGACGGAAGGTCCTCGGATGGGCTGGCGAGCCCCGGCTTGAGCGTGTCGACGCCGCGCGATCACGACGTGCGCGACTACAACGAAACGTCGAGCTACACCGGCACTCGCACGCCCAGCCCCACGGGCAGCATCGGCATCTCGCTCCCGAAACTCGGGTCTCCGGATGAGCGGCCCGGCCAGAAGAGGTTTCGAACCCAAATGTCCAATCTACAGCTAAAGGTACTAAAAGCTTGTTTTAATGACTACCGTACACCCACAATGCAGGAGTGTGAAATCCTAGGCAGTGAGATTGGGCTGCCCAAACGCGTGGTGCAAGTGTGGTTTCAGAACGCACGTGCTAAGGAGAAGAAGTCTAAGCTAAGCATGGCCAAGCAATTTGGGATGGACCCACAGACAGGGTTGGAGCTGGGTCCGAAGACGGAGTGTGGCCTATGTGGCGTGCAGTTTGGCGCGCGGCTGTCCATCCGTGACCACGTCTTCTCCCCGCAGCACATCGCCAAAGTGAGGGAGAGCGTGGGCAGCCAGCTGGACCGGGAAAAGGAGTTCCTCGACCCGGCCACGGTCCGGCAGCTCATGGCTCAGCAGGAGCTTGACCGCATCAAAAAGGCGAACGAGGCAATGGGCCTTTCGGTGCCGCAGCAGCAACAGCTGCAGCTGCAGCAACAGCTGCAGCAGCAGGGCTCCTTCAATGGCCCAGGGCTGAGTGTGTCGTCGGCTTACTCCGCGATGCCGGGGCTGTCCCCCATGCTGATGTCCGGCGTTGGAGGGTCTCCTTCGTTGCAGAACTTCACTTCGACCTCCACCGGTAATTGTGATGACGTCGCGTTGTGTGGTGCAGCGACAGAGTTTTGAGTCGGACTTGGATCCATATCTAACGTCAGGCATTTAAAAAACGGCGTTCCTTTGAGCGAGCCGGACTTTGCCGATGAGACGACGAATGTCAAAGCCGGTAAAAAGCTTTGCTTGTGGTGAACCAATGCTGCAGAAATTACGCACTCCCCAGATGGGCCCTACGTCTGATGGGATCTGTAAAAATTAAAATTTGTGTTCATGTCGAGGAACAGACTCGTGAAGGGGAGGCGAAATTGCCTGACGATTTAATTTTTGCCACCTATGATTCTGCCCCATCAGTCTGACATTGTTCGTGACTGATTTGCTTTTTGTAAGATTATGCAATGTTAATACGATGGTTCAGTAATAATGGGGGAGCTCTTCAGGGAGCACTTCATCCAGCAGTGGATTTACCACGGTTCACGATAACAAATGGAAGAATACCATTTGTTTACATTTCATTCTGTGTATATATTTTTTTTTATGTTGCAGACATTATTTATATTTAGTGCTCGCTGACATCCACCTAACAAGCAAGGAAACATTTGTATTCACAAATTTGTATTCACAAATGTGTTACTGAATCATAACTAAGGGACTTTTTTTTGTCACAATGGAGCAAATATAAACATTGATAGCGACACCCCATGACCCTGCTTAACGCAAATGTGATCACGGGGTCTTTAATGCTCAATTTGCAGTGCACATCAGGTCTGTCAATTTGCGTCAGGAATTACCAACTGGCTGCGGAAATTGAACCGCTGACTTCATGAAAAAGTCATGCAATCAATCGGGCCACAAGGCTGTCTCACCACCCAAAATAACGAAGATATTTCTACCGTTTCATCGTGTGTCAGTGTGCCGCACGGATACGTTAGTTTTTTAAAAATGGGGCTTGTGACACGCACGCACTCGCAAGCACGCACTCGCAAGCACGCACTCGCAAGCACGCACTCGCAAGCACGCACTCGCAAGCACGCACTCGCAAGCACGCACTCGCAAGCACGCACTCACACACACACACTTGCACGCACTCACACATACACTCCTACGCACTCCCACACATGCACGCCGGCGGTGGTTTCACTCCGCGTCAAATCTCGGACGCGAAGCAGGGGCTGAATCTCAATAGTGCTTAGATGGGTGTGACCACTGCGTGCACACAGCAGGCCGCATCGCAGACAAATGCATTGTTGTACTGTTCTTCTATGCTGCCGCATATCTACCCTCCTGACCTTCAACCCATACTGATCAGAGTGGTGAGGTATGATCAAACAAACCCCCGTGATCCATCGGGTGTGGGAAAGCCCTTATCTAGCAATGGGCTGATGATGCACAAGTGATAGTGGGTCATATGATAACAAATATTAAATAAAAATGCATCTGTGTGCGCGTGCGTTTGCGCGTGTTCGCAGCCATGGCTACATCCACCGCGAGCCTCATGGGGCTGCCGATGTCCTCCATCCCTTCGCCGGGCCTCTCCCTCTCCGGCGCGGTCAAACCTCAGCAGCCGCGAATGTCCACGCCACCACAGTCCGCCTCGGCGCACCAACCCGAGCAGCACGGCAGCGTGAAGAAGGAGAAGGAGGCGGAGAAAGAGAAGCTGAAGCTGGTGGCGGCGGCGGCGGTGAAAAAGGAGAAAGCGGAAACCGCCTCGGCCACGGCGGCCCAGGAGGCGATGGAAGGCGCCATGGACCACTCCCAGCTGCAGGCCCTGCAGGCCGCGTTGGCCGGCGACCAGGCCACAGCGGCGGCGCTGCTGGCCGGGCAGCTCTTTCCCTGCTTCCTGCCGGGCTTCCCTCCTTATTTCAACACCGCCCCGCACCACCAGATCCCTCCGGCGGCGGCTGCGGCGGCCGCAGCGGCAGCGGCGCTGCAGGGCGGCTACCTGCAGCCTCTGTACGGCATGGAGGCCAGTCTGTTCCCCTACGGGCCCGCCTTCGCCCAGGCCGCCCTGGCCGGCGGTCTGGCGCCAGGCTCGCTGCTGCACCAGCAAGTGCAGCAGTACCAGCAGAGTATGCAGGAGGCTCTGCAACAGCAGCAGCAACTACAGCAGCACCAACAACAACAGCAGCAGCAGCAACAACAGCAACAACAGCAGCAGCAACAACAACAACAGCAGCAGCAACAACAGCAACAACAGCAGCAGCAGCAACAACAGCAGCAACAACAGCAGCAACAACAGCAGCAGCAACAACAGCAACAACAAAGGATGAGTCATGCGCATTCAGCAAATGGCTCCTCCATGGAGCACCAGCCACGCATTGAGCTTGCTAGCGGACAACCCCCAGCCCAGCAGAAGGCCGAAGATGCTGCCTTTAAAGTGGAAGAGAAGAGCAGAGCGTCGAGCAAGACTCCCGTTTTGAGCCAATCCGAACAGTACACCGCAGATTTTTGCGAAATGAAGTACAGCCTGGTTTGCCGGAAGTGTCAGACGGTGTTCAGCGATGAAGCGTCGGCCCTGAGCCACCAGAAGTCGTTCTGTTACTTTGGGCAGGCCTCGGTGGACGGCCAGGAGACCCTGCTCCGCGTCCCTTCAGGTCAGTACCACTGCTCGGCCTGCGAGGTGGCCCTGCTGGGGGAGGACGGCCTGCGCCGCCACCTCCTGTCGGCCTCGCACCGACAGCGAGCTGCCAAACGAGCCTCGACTGACGCCAAAGAGCAACAGCAGCAGCAGCACGCTAGACTATTACCTCACTCCTTTCCCACCCTTGACACCGCGTCTACCTCGCAGCCTCCAACCGACAATGACAACAACAACAACAGCAGCAGCAACGCAGCCACCGCAAGCACCATGGCCGCCTCCCTGGAAGCCATCCTCTCCACCGCAAGGCCCTGGTCCTCCGCCCCGGTCAACCCGCCATCCCTCCCCCACTTCTTGCCGGCCGTTACCTCAAGCTCTCTCGGCTCCTCCGGGGCCCAAGCCCCCGGCGCCACGCTGGGCGGCTGCTCGGACGACTCTGAGGGAGAGCCGTGTAGCCCGCAAGGAAGCGCCATGGCGGCCGGTGGCTCGGAGCGAGAGAGCCTCTGTCCGTGAGGCCTTCCCCCCCCCCCCCCCGAAACCACCCCACACCTCCCCCCCTCTCCTCCGCAGCTTTTGCTGGGCGTGAGCCCCCTCAAAGGCCGAGGCGGGCCCACTCGGAGGCGCAGCACCCTCAGACAGCATGGTTTAGGGCATGCGCACTTCGGGCTCTGAGCGGAAAGAGAGACTGCTATCGAGAGAATTGCACACTGCGCATGGATCCTAGAAATGATGTATCCCCCGAATGGCTAGCTAGTATTAAAACTCATAGGTGTGTAGATACAAATTGCTTACACTCGGTGGGCCTTTTGACAAACTGTCGTGTCCTTGCCAGTTGGGCTCAGCTCGGACTGAAACAAAACAAATATTTATGGCTGCTGATGCAAACCTTTAAATTTTCTAAGGGGGTAAAAAAAAAGTCGATTGGCCCTCCTTCCCTGACTCTTTTTATCTAAACGGTCATGGCGATAAACACGGCAGCCCCACGCGGTGCGCGAAATCCCGGCCGCGGTGTCGGCCCCGTCGGCCCTCAGCGAGAGAAAGAGAGAGGCCGGTCGGCCCTGTCGCCCCTGTCGGCCCTCGCCGTGAGAGAGAGAGGCCTCTCGGCCCGGGACGTTTCAAGGCAAAAGCATTTACAGCGCAGGGCCCGACAGCTGCACCGTGCGTTTGTTACACATAGGTAGGCGAGAGACTAAAACAAACTGAACTTCTTAAGCAATTAAGATTCCAAAGTTTATAACAAAACCAAAAAATAAGGAAATTGGGGTCATTCTCCCGTATGTATAAACCTGCTCCTAGTATACGGTGTTCTATGAAAATAACTTAAAGGTAAAACAATGTATTTTTTGGTCTGTTTAAAGGCGCGTAGAAGCACTTACCTCAACCCTACCCGATAGTATCTGGAACGTACAGTACTTTGTTTTTTTATTTTAAATGGGAGTCTTGTCTGAGTTAAGTGCCAGTGCATTCCTTACGAGATGATGTTTTTTTTTTCCTGAAAAGAATTTATTAAGTTGTTACTTTGCTACCTACCACAAACATTCACAGTTCCGTACTTTTGAGTCTCAGGTCAATACAGATAGAACGACAAAGGTTTTCTTTTGGGTGTCTTTTGTTTTGACCGCATAAAAGTGCAAAGGCTGTTACAGTCCGTGTCATTTTACCTTGGGGTCGTACAACGTTACCGTCTAATGCCACAATGGTTGGGTTTTCGCGGCCAAACTTTGGACAAAGTTTCCAGCCGTGAGAACCTGGCCACTCTACGATGCATTAACGTAGACATCGAAGACAGTCGCCATCGGTTTTTATTTACACAATCCATGTTGATGGGATTTAAACCATGACCACAGATGCCACTAAACTCCACGTTTCTCTGATGAATACAAAAAAATATATTTGTAGGCCTAAGTAGCTCTCTATATACATAGAAAAAATGAGAAAAATATGGAAACGAAAACATGCATCAGCCATGGCCTAAATCTACTGCTCTTAGCCTTCCTCTGTAGCTTTAACTCCTCACGCATTGGCGTTGTTTTGTAGAATCTGTAGAAATGGTGTAAAAAGGAGGCGGTGCGCCCCTCTGCTTTAAGAAGACGAGTCGCCCCTTTGCTTGTGTTTGCGATTTGATGTGCACTTGCCACCACGATACCTCGCAGCAATCCGCCACTTGCGCTCGCCGTCGTGCCCCTCGCTCCCTCACCCCGCGCCCCAAACCTAGCGAGGCAGCCTCTTGTGCAGTCAACACAACGGTGTCAGAAGTTATTTCTATTTTATTTTTTTCCTCCCTTTTTTGGGGGTCGTTCCCTTCCTCTTTCTCCCTCTTCACAATAATCCAAAGACGACAATTGTAACTGTTGGTGCATAATCGAGCGAGGTATTGTATACTTGAAAAAAAAACTGTGTTGAAAAAAAACTATAAAAAAAAACAACCAACCAACAACAGCAACAGCAGTGGCAACATTTTTGGCGAGCATTTCGATAACATCGATTGAGCTTAAATTACGTTTAAAACAAAAAGAGAGAGCCGTTTTTGTTTGTTTTCTCTTCGCAAGGACGCCGTTGTTGTTGTTGTTGTGATGCGGACTTTAACACGGCTGCGGATGTCAACATCTGGACACTTGTGTTGTTACTGTAGAGATTTTGTTTTTTAATCGGTAAACATATAAGCTTTATGTGGCCTCGCGTCGTTTAGGCAAGCGTCATGCCATAGTCACCCGAGTGGTTTCTTTATTTTGCTACCACGAGCCTGGCGAGAGAGAGCGAGAGAGAGGGCCTGGGCGCAAAGCCAGAGCAGCTTTTGTTTTCTAGGTGCAGTTCTTATCGGCTGTTACATTGGAACTCGCAAGACTGTGAACACTGCTTACATCCCACGAAATAGTAATGTATTGAGAAGGATTTTGTGTAAAAAATAAATAATATGAAGGCCCATTACTGATTCATTCCAAAGTATTTAATAGCATCTACGGGAAAAAAGTATGTTTTTAGTTTGAGACATGACATATATCCAAACAGTTGTATATATATTATCAGCATCGTTGCCTATTACGCAACTTTACGTTACGTATCTGCCATCTCGTAGTTTTGTTGTTGTTTTTGTTGTTGCTGAACATAATGAACCCCTTTATACGTTACAGATCAATCGCTGGCATGTTCCTTAATGTGTTACATTTTGCTGATTATCTTAAGTTAAATGTGTCTTAATGCAAGACTTGTACAGATGTGTATTTTGTTTTGCCGCTCTTATTCCCTGCCGCCTCCGTCATCTCTCCGTTTTGTATATGTTTTCGGTGAAAGGCTGTATCATTTTTTTTGTCACGCGATCAGTGTCGGTATGTTTTGCTGTTTTCGCGCGTCGTTGATTCGGTGACCTGGGGAGAAGGGGGCACAGCAGCAGCAGGAGGAGGTGTGGAGGATGGCGCGAGGAGCTTGTATAGTTGCATTTAGTTCTTGACGATGACAAAAAAAAGAAACGTGGAGAGGACCTGGCCTCCTGTCAACGGTGCAATGTGTCCAGTCTCTACTCATGCAGGGTGTGGAACTGCTAGAAAACCTCACGACGCTGTCCAAAGACTTTCTTCTGATAACGAACTCTTAACCCTCAAAACCCTCAGAGTGCAAACCCCCCCCCCCCGCTCCGACACCCAAGCGGATCCAAAGCATGGGGAGGAGATGGACGAGGCTGTGTGTATTCGAATGGGCGTGCAACTGTCTGCATTGTGAAAGCACTGAATGAAAAAAAAATAAAGAAAAGCTTTAAAAACTTCAATACACTTTCAAAAGGTGGCCAAACATTTCCAAAGGATTTTACTTCTTCTTCTCCTTCTAATTCTTCTTCGTATTCTTCTTTGCCACATTAAATAAACTGTGATTAACTGTGGCAACGAAGTAAGAGAGGGAGGAGCATTAACTCAAGTCGTCGTGTTTGTTCTCGTGTCTTGATCGTTGTGAGAGGCGATCGCTCGCTTGCGCAGCGCGCGCATCCCCAGGGGTGCGCGCCTATGGCGCGAGTCTCGACCGTGTACAATTTGCTGTAGGTTATACAATTCTCATAGCTGTTGACTGTAAGCTGCACACTAAACCAAAAAAGTACATGTTCTTGTTTTCTATGATAGTCTTTCGGTTTTTCTTTTGGTTAATGTAACCTCTGAACGTCTTGACTAAGCTGTGCCGTAACACAGTAAAACTAATGAAGTAAAAAAAAAGTCTTTTTAATTATGTTGCAAAACTTGTCATAGATATGTTTATTGTAGATGTACTGGTATTTGACCCTATAGTATGGATCTGCTCGTTGTGATACATTAAAAATTGATATGACCAAAATAAAGCTCATGTCTGTGTTTCATGATAATGTTGTTCATTATTGTTGTTATTTATTGAAATATCATTACATCTGGTTTCGTAGGTTTACGGGGGGAGGGAGCGGTGGCACAGTTATTAGCACGCTGCACTATTGACCTGGTGACCTGTTCTCGCTTGGGAAATGGCGAACTTTAGTGGCACGGGATACGCCGCGTCGTGAATTCTATTCAAACAAGCCGCCATTGCTGACACAGCGAGGGGAGGCCTTCATCCAGCAGTAGATATAAAAAAGGGCTGAAATTATAATTAATATTAATGGATGCAATTCACGATGATTGTCTATGGTGATCTGTGTGCAACATTTGGGGAGCAGTAGTGTTCGTGGTTAGCATTATGCAGTACGAACCCGGCAATCCGAGTTCAATTCCCACTCATTACCAATAACTGGCGAATATTCTAACCGGTCGTGAACCTACCCTAGGTCGACTCAGCCTTAAACAAGTAACTGGTGCGGTGTGCATATATCGGCATTGGGGAGGCAGGCGGTACGGACGTGGTCCCGGCCACATCGTGTGCCGTGCCTGCCTTAATAGCTGCTCGCCAACGGCGCTTGCCCGTGCAGGCCGCTGAAGGCTATACGGGGGATCTTTGTGTTTGAGTGAGTGAAGTGCGAGTCGGGATGCTCTGAGAGGAGGAGGAGCATGGAATGAAAGTGAAAGCTTTCTTGAAAACGGCACAAGGGCGCATCCCTCACCTCCCATGACCCCCAAATTCCCAGGGCCTCTGTTTGGGTAACATGTTTGTGTCTCGGCGCAGGCAATTCCTCTGCACAGCGGCTTCATTAGGCAAAGCGTTTACATTTTTCTTTCATAAGCATCCTTGGTGGTGGCGATCGTTTGAAAGATGTATTTGTTGAGGTTGAAAAACCTGCGCATAATGAGGTTCTTTAGAATGCCGCTGTTTTGGATTGAACGGGGCACCATGATTTTTTAATAGGATGGTTCCACAATATACGTGACTGGCCACACACAGCAACATTAAATTAACAGACCTGGCTGTCGATTGAGTCTGAAAACTGAGTTTGTTTCCGGACCTGGGTTTCCCTGATTAAACAAATGCTGCAGTAAAACATTGGTCCGCGAAGGACCACAGGTTTATGAACTAAAATATTTATTTCAAAAACGGTCTTCATGGAATAATAGTGGACCTATGAATACGCGTGCATTGCTAGTCTTGTGCACGCACCGTCAGAAGTCGTTATGAACAAGCGCTCGGTGTGCGTGGGCATCGAAACGTGCATAAGGTCACGTTTTTAGATGTGGAAATGAGACCGTTCAGAAAACAACAGTCGAGACTTTATCAACATTCTCCCCGCAGTTTTCCGTTTCTGACGGCTCTCGTGTCGATACAATGTTGGGTGTATCATCAGAAATCTTTACGCGGGCTGCGCCGGGTATAGAACATACTCATTCGAAATGCCGCATATATTCTCCTTGCCGCTTTTTTTATACATGACATTTCCATTTTACGGAAAACACAATTTGTCGCAGTGGTGGCCGCGGCCATTGCATCTCGCAAAAACTCGCCCAAAAATCCGGCGAAACGTCGTCTGAGCGCCGGGCGGGTATTTAAAAAAAATCCGTACATTTGCTTCAAGCAAAAATGCTGACGCGAGATAAGCTTAGCCTTGATCACAGCGGGTTATTGCTGAAATTTCTAGACTGTAGGAGCGTCAGTATCTCTCCCACAGGCCACGATATATCAGACACATCAAAGGGAACGGCAGAGCGCCGCGCCGCACCACCACCAACTCCGCTTTCGTTCCCCTCCCCACCCCACCCGTTTCTGAGCTCCGCGGGCCTCGAATAAATTCCAGGTGCTGGGATGAGAAATGGGACTGCGATCCGTGTCACATCCCCGCAGAATGACGACACCTGGGGAAAGGGGATCACGCTGCGAGTAAATTTTAATGCCGACAGATTTCAATATCGGAGAGCGCGGCCCAGGAAATGAATTCCGCCTTTCAGAAAGCGGGGATGAATTAGTCCCCGCGCTAAGAGATGAGTTAGATGTCTAGAAAAAAGAGAATTGCTCTTCTTTTTTTATATAGCTTTTGTCTTTTTACATTTTATTATTTCGCTCGCTCGCTCGCACAGTGAAATAAGAGAGACACGAGAGAGATAGGCGGCTGCGTCTTTCCCAAATCTCTTTGCCTGTCCCTATCATTAATTATGCACACAGCGCTGGTGGGCCATCATTTTCAGCCTTGGTCAATCCCGCTGCTGGATGAATGCTTCCTCAATCCGCGATCATCCCTCACAATCCTAAGATGTCAAAATCCAAACAGCATCTTCATCTTCTTGGTTCTTTCGGTAAAGTCACGTAGAAGGGAAGTAATAAAATAATAAAAAAATAAAGCATCTTCATCGTCATTATCGGTAGCCATGATCAATCCACTGCTAAAACACCCCATCTCTCGCGACCTTACCATTTAACAATCCACCGAGCACCTGTACACGACCAGGATTTCGTCGCTCCATCTCCACGGCACGGAGCCTCTGATGACACTTCTCAATTCCTTGGCTTGCCACTCCCGTCATTATTCTTGACCACGGTGTGCACGATGGGTTAGCGCACTGGTCAGCGCATTTCCCTATGAACCCGGCGACCTGAGTTGCACTCCCGCCCATAATTTCTAATCGATGTTGAATATATCGGCGGCCGGTGTTTAGAGCACGTGGCCTCATGCACGGCGCGCGCGACAGCTCTTTAATACCGCGCAGCATAAAGCTTAAGTGTCGAGTTATCTCCGGATTTAATTACGTTTTGTGCATTAACCGGCTGACACCGGCGTCGCGTTACATCTGCCCGGCGTCATCTCACCTTCGCAAGCTCCAGGGCACTCATCTCTGCTTGTGATTATCATCACCACCACCATTATTATTATTGCTACTGCTCTGCAGTTGTTTGATTGCCCCTGCACCTGCCTGGCGCCTTTGGCGTTGGGACAAATATATTTCGCAGATAATTACGGCAGAGCCGCACGTGGTTGATAACCGGGTAAATGTTCTTCAAATTGGAGCGAATGGTTGACAGCTGGCGTGCGACGTGCCCTTCCGTCGCAGGTACAACACTGGGAGGGGGGATTGGATTCGACAAATGAACCTTATAGCGGGACCCCGGGGTCCCGAAAAAACGGAATTCAAAATCGTAATTAATTAATTTTTGGCAACTCCGTCCCACCGCGAAACATTAACGCTGCGACCCACCTGGCGCGGATCATTCTGTTGTCATGTCGTGTCCGAGGACGAATGCGCAGAAGAGCTGAACAAGCGAATGCACTCCATGCTCGGTTATGGGCAGGATCATAAGTCTTATCCAAAGCTGCTCAAACTGCCTACCCGATTTAAGTCCTTTATTTGTCATAGCGGTATGTATAATACAGTGAAACTGCTCTCTTGTCTTCATTATTATGTATGACCTACCAATGTCTGCGGCCAGGATCAATCGATGACAATCCTATTTTCTGCAGATATTTACCAGATGAGATGCGTTGCACCGTTAATTCCTCCTGTTTGATCATACTTCTCTTGTCCTTATGCATCTGTGCAGATAGGTTTTTTTTTGCCGTTAAGCCATAGTCCCCACATATCGCTCGTATCAATGCGGATAAGAGGAGCGGCGACCCACTACTCTGTAGAAGTAACACTGGTATAAACGCTTGATACAACATGAACAGCGCATTAAAAACACGTACTATTGTATGTACTGTTTACAAAGTGTGTTCACACATTCACACCGAGAAACACGATGATTGCGGAGGGGTGTAAATCATTTTTTCGATAGTGTATTTAAATAGAGGTACTGCAGGTAAGTAGTTTTCAGTTTTAGAGGCATAGTTTAACAAGACAACACTTGCCACCATCCTTCAAACCCATTGGTGAAAAAGAGCAAAGTTTTTGTTTACATTATAATATAATCTTGACTTAAATATCACGACGTTTCGATCGCAACACAAGCAATCGTCATCAGGTGAATATTATAGCAGGAGAACTGCTGAGGATTTCTATTCGCAGCAGCTCTCCTGCTTCTATTATGTGTTCTATCTATGTGGCTTTACCGAAAGACCCAAAGAATATTATAACATGATGATGTTTATGCGATAGCCGGGGGCTTGTGGGACCCCGGAGTCCCGCCATGAGGTTCAATTGTGGCTGTGTTTAAACATAGTGGTGGATGCACATTCTTGGGTCTTTTGGTAAAGTCACATAGATAGGTTAAAAGAAAATAACAAAAAACTACGACGTTTCGATCGCAACACAAGCGTTCGTCATCAGGAATAAAAAAAGAGGGGGACAGCTGCTGAGGCAGCTGAAGAGGCAGACTCTTTTTTCTTCTTGATGACGAACACTTGTGTTGCGATCGAAACGTCGTAGTTTTTATTCATTTATTTTCTATTTTCTTTGACCCTATCTACGTGACTTTACCGAAAGACCCAAAGAATATGAATTTCTGCAGTCACGAAAGCTTTAAGTGAAGATTGTGGTGGATGGTAGCGCCTCTAGTGGCTGCAGAGGTGACGTGACCTGATGACGCGACCCGATGGTGGCAGCCCGCGACACACTTTCTCTTAACACCTTCACAGGACAGTCCGAGGAAAACATGGACGCAATATTCATGATACAGTGCACTCGATGATTCGAAGCGTACATGGACATGGTTGGTTTAATATCGATGTTCATCGATCGCGAGGTGGTGAGCGCGCTGCGCTGCCAACACGGCGACCCGAGACCGATTTCCGCTCACGAACGACAACAGTGGCATACATTTTCATCGGCCCTGTGCCTCCCACCCCTGAGGTCGACTCAGCCTGAAATTAGTACAGTATCTGGTGCGGGGTGTAAACGTCAACGTTGGGGAGACAAAGGCGGCCGGGCGTGGTGTTGGTCACCCACTCCCGTTTGTGTCACACTAGCCTCAACAGGTGCTCGCTTTACAGCACTTGCCCCAAGGCTACGTGTGTGTATATACTGTATGCGTGATAATTTTCTCAGATATAAAAAAAAACATTGACCAGGTTCGAATAAACGCTGTTCTATTACAGCAACGGGTGGGAGCGGTGGCACAGCGGTTAGCGCATCGCATGCGATGAACCCGGCGACCTGGAGTCTATTTCCGGCCGCGGTGAACATCGGCGAGGCGTGGATATCTGAGCAGATCTCTCCCCTTTCATCAATCTGCACTGGCCAGCGTGCTCAAGTGTGGCCAAACAGCCATTGTAACAGACACGTCCAACAGTGGATTACAACAGGAAACAAAGTCATAAGTAGACTAACGTTTCGTGCAACGGCCCCTGTAAGCAGGGAGAGGGCGTTACTGACTTTGAGTGTGGGCAAGATTGAATTTGTTACAACTGCGTGGCTCTTGAAAACAAAAATCCCGGAACACTTTGATTCGACAACGACAGGTTTGAATTGGCACGAGAATAGTTTTCCATGAGCAGACAATAAGTCGAGCTTCAGAGCCCCCGCCAAGAGTTATTAATGTCATGCATTGTCGTCGTTTCTTGGATGTCGCGTGCGATCGTGCGAGCCAGCATGGACCGGCATCCCCGTGCATGTCCGTACCACTTAGCACGCATGTGGATGCGTTATTCTCTGGGTATTCACGTGCCATATCCGCGCCTACGCTTATAACTTTCACGCAAGGTGTACTCTACATGTAATAACCATATATGACAACCGAAAAATACCATTCTTCAATCACACTGCGGCGTTAAAAGGGCGGCGCGGTGGCCAGATGTTAACTACTTCGCCTGGTATTCAGGAGGTCGTGGGTTCGACCCCGATCCCAACCCTGACACCTGTATATAACAAGCCACTCCGTTGAGCTATCATTTGAGCTACATAGCTCAGTGGGCCTTACCTGGCAAAACATTTTTCGTGTTTTCGGCAATGGTTCTTCTTTGTAGCTGCATATCTTTAAGACCACGTTGTTGGTAGCGAATGTGTTCTATTGTTTGTTGTTAGTCGTTATTGTGCACCACTGCCAATGCAACAGCATCACCAAATAACTTGTCATATTATAACAGCATATCATATACACTACAGGGGAGTGGTCAATGCACTGTGCCATGTGGGTACGTGAGTTCGATTCCCAGCCTACAGCTGGTGTCTGATATCTGTACGATCATGGCACGCACACTAATACCAATACCCGCCATTCGCCAATAAGTGACGGTGAGGTCACCACGGCGCACGTGCCAGGCTAGGTGCACTTTGAGGCGACGTGAAATGTTTAAGGCTCGCTGACAGATCACGGGGACAGACCCAGGTGCCATGGGTTGACTGACTGAGATGACTGGCAGATGTATTCTGCCAACTTGCTGCATTTTATCCGCACGGCACTCCAGTCGTTGTTGTGAGCGTCGCTGCTCTGCCTTCCGTTGTTGTTGGAGGGCGACTGCCTCCAACTGCCCAGCAGCGTTCTTCACGAGCCTCCACCATAGAGGTCGATCTTTACACCGTTGGTCCCATTCTTCGGCAAGTCCACTCAGCTCCACATCCTCCTGTACCACTCACCCCATCTCTTCTCCAGCCAATTTCGTGCCCGTTTAGCCCCCTCTACCCGGCCAAACAGAAGCTGCTTGGGCATGCAATGGCTAGGCATGCGGGTTACATGACCCAGCCACTGATGGGAATGTGTCCAGATCGTTCAAAGATTTGTGAGCTTCTCACGCAATCCAGCCTGGTTACATCCAGGATGGATCGTAGGCAGGCTAGCCTGAATGTTCTCACCTGCGCAGATGTTAAATTCGATGGGTCCACGTTTCACAAGCGTAGAGAAGGGAGGGCATGATGACTGTGGCTGAGAAGACCCGAAGCTTCGTGTGGAGCGACAGACCAGGTAGCTTTCACACAGCGTTACGCAGCCGATGAAAATATAATGCCGCCCGCCTGATTCGGAGTGAGACCTCTGCTGTCAAACTGGAGCTGGTGATAAACATTCTGCCCAGGTATGGACAACTCTCCACTCTCTCCACAACTGCTCCATTACCAATGGGGAGTTGAGGAGGTGGAGTGTATGATGGCACAAAATACTCAGGCAGGTGCTTAATTTTGATGGGGCTGATGGTAATGACCCCAACTCTTCGTGGCACACTTCAGGTTGAGCAGCAGCGCCTCAAACTCCTCCTCTGTATAAGCAGCAATCACCAGAACATCATCATACATAATATGGTTGACCAATAGGGAGCCATCCCTCGACCGCACCCGGGCATCAAAGAGGCTTCCATTGTATCTGTACTGATTAGCTTGGTGAAGTATGGTCAAACAACCCCCATGACTTACGTGTCGCTTGACCCCATCAGACACCCTTGCAAACGAGATGTGCCTTCTCAACGGACTATCCAGAAGATATATATCTCATGGATATTATTGTAAATGACCGATAATACTCATGGATGGATGCCCTCATCCAGCAAAGGATTGCCAAAGGGCTGTATTTGGTACTGATTTTAAGTATTATAATACTGCGTGCATGCGTATAGTGAACGTGTACCTGTACCCGTGTGTATTCTATATCTACACGCGCATGTAGCCCTGGAACGAGCGGCTGGAAATTGGAATGTCGCGAGGCCAAATCCTTGTTATGGTCGACTCATCCCACCGTCATCTCTCAGGGGTCGATAAAATTAGCAACCACTTTGCGGCAAAGCGCAAACAGCGGTGTTCTTTGCAGAGACCGGGCCCACCGCCATCGAAATGGAGAATGTCCTACGACTGGCCCAGGGTTGTCGAGAGGCGGAGGGTGAGCGCCGCCTCGATGCTCATTTGAGCAGCAGGAAATCACTCCTCCTTTGTAGTCTGTGTGGATGCCGCGTGCCACATGTAATTACATGGTTATAGGCACTGCACAATGTATCCCGAGTTAAACGGTTGTGTCTGCCTTCGCAGATGTAGACTAGAGAGCACACTATAGAACTCGCGTGTAACGTCTACGTCTCTTAAACTGTCGAAATGTATTTCGGAGAAAATACCGACATTCTGGAAATTGTGTAATTTTATTTTTCAGAGCCTATATCTGCACACACGCCCGTGTGTATGTGTACATATGACGTTCCCGTCGTGGTGCTGACAGTCAATACGCGTTGCACGTATATATTTAAATTATATATTCAACACAAAGGAATGGACACGTCAGAGAGGACGCGTACAGGGGAGATGGAGCGATATAACTCAGTTACGTGCACAGCTGCTCTAGGTAAATTATTACATCGCAGAATCGCGAGAGATGGCGGTGGCTTCGGGGAGGCCTTCATCCAGCAGTGGATTGACCATGGCTGGCCGATGATGCGGGCGGATTATTAATTACATCGCAGGATCGATTGCCAGTGATGATGGCATGGCGAGATATTCATCCAGCAGTGGATTTGCCACGGAAGATGATGGATGGAATATATGACGAATGCGCAACACAAAGGAAACATTTACATCGCTGTCATAAATAATTTAGGAGTCACGCGTGGTGGGTGACTGGGCCGGCATTTGAGCGAGGCAATCGGAACACGCCGGAATTTCAATGCGATGCCCTTTAGCCGCATACTAATTATTTCTATCATCTTGATTCGGTACACATTTAAAAGATGCCCCGGGACTCTAGACGCATCGCCCCATATCAAATTTCCAATCAAGCGCCGGAACAAATTTCTATTCATTTGTTAAAAAAAAATAAGGCAGACGGCCCCAGGAGCCGCCGCCAAGACGGCAGTGGCCATTGATTTGTGTCGGCCCGGCCGCGCGTGTTTTTCAATGGGAGCTGATTAAGTGAAACGTGCGCTCCTATCGGCCGTGCCATCCGCCGCTCGTGCCTCGCCCGGTAATCACATCGCAGCCCGCGCGCCCGGCGCGGCCCCCGCGGGCGCGCGGGCTTATCAGGCGCGGCCACGCCGGCCCGGGTGGCCTCACAAACCCAACCCTGTTGAACCAACCCGGCCCAGCACGGATATCCCAGTCAACCCACTCAACCCGGACCAGCACGGCTTTCCCAATCAACCCAGCCTGGTAAAGCTATCCCAGTCAACCCACTCAACCTAGCCTGGCACTGATCTCACCCAATCAACTCACCCTAACCAATCACCCCAACCCACCAAACCCATATAACCCTACCCAACCACCTCTACCTTACTCAGTCTACTGAATCAACTCAACTCACCCAACTCTATCCAAACCAACTAATCCACTCTTACCCAACTCCACTCAACCCAAACGTAACCCAACCAACCCAATCAAGTGCGTGAGTGTGTGCAGCCGTGCACAGCGTCGCGCCACCATTCCCACAGAGTCAATCCCAGGGCTTCATTTCAACCGAAGCTGCCCAGGTCTTGAGCTCAACAGCGCATAAAACACAGCCCGTCTGTTGCCCAACACCTCGCCTCGCAGCATGCCCGGGGGTCAGCCATTCAATCGCTATGCAGGCTCAACCCAGATCAGCTTCCGAGGGGGGATCTGGAGGGGATTGGGGGGCAGGGGGGTATAGGGGGTACGGGGTGGATATGTGGGGTGTGGGGGTGAGGCTGTTGGAGTTGGGGGACTGGTGAGGAGGGTATAGGGGAGGGTGGTATAGCGGAACATGGGAGGAGGGGCCAAGGTGGGTGGAGTTGCGGCGGATGATGGGGGGCCGGGGAAGTGGGCATAGGTGGAGGGTGGTATGGGGGGGGGCTCCGCAGGGGTCCCCGGTGACGTCATGCCCCGATCGATCCCAACCGCCTGCGTCACGTGACGCGGCCGGCAGCCAATGAGAGCGCGGCGTCCGGCTTGGTGCCGAGTAAGTGAGAAAGGAAAGTTCGACCGAGAAGAGGGGGAGCAGGGGAGATAATGGTGATGGAGATGGTGGGGATACAGTGCTCGTGGTGGTGCAGCACGCACGATCGGTAACCGCGGAGCGAGGGCGGGACCCGCTAGTGCCCGGCACGACGCGAGTCCAGGAGGGTCCGGTCGCTCAATCCTGGAACCCCTCCGGCACAACTTCTGCGCGGCTCCATCCCGCGCCTCTCTTCTCCGCACATCTCCCGCTCCCTCCAGCTCGTGGCGCTCCCTGCTCCACCCGGTGATGCCCAGCACCACTGCTTTCGCTGCTTCAGCTCCCAAGTGACTCAGTAACTTAACCTCCCCCTCTTCCCTCCTCTCAACATAATAACTCCAGCTGCCCCCCCTCCCCCTGCGCTCCATCTCCCCCCTACTCTGCTCAGCTGTCTTCCCGTTTTCCCAGTAACTCCCCATCTCCATTAGCTGTCATCTCCAGCCACCACAGTTCTTCAGCTGCCCCTTGCTAAACTCGCTGTCTCCTGCTCCGCCGTATCTTCTGACTGCCCCCCCCTCCCACCTTGCTCCGCCTGCTTTACATTGGAGGATGGAGCGACTCTCTGGCCGTTGGATGCTGCGGGCAGGGAGAGATGTCGTGGCGGCGGCGGGAGCGAACTCAGCCCCAGCCACCATCACTTCGTCTTCATCAGCCAGCTCGTCGCTCCTCGGACACCTGCAGAGGCTGTGCGGTGGAGAGAGGCCGCGCCGCCTGGACCTGGGGGATGGCGGCGGCGGCAGGGCGCACACTCGGAGGGTGCGTGTTGGAAACACCCGTGCCCGCGGGGTCTAACTTACTGAGCGCAGGGTGATTGCTTGTAACGCACATGCCGTCACACAGACATGCAGACACATACAATCACACACGCACACATAAACTCAGAGCTACACATATGCATACAAAGACAACGATCCCCCGCATAGCCTTATACTGTTAGCGAGTAGCACTTATGAATACCGGCACGGCACACGAGGGGGTGGGTGGCCAACACCACGCCCGACCGCTTTTGTCTCCCCAGTGACACACCACACATGGCACTCATTCGAGGCTTTGTCGACCTCGGGGAGGCCCGGTACCTGTTCAGATAACCATCGATGTTGGTCGTGAACGTGAATTGAACTCTGGTCGCGACACAACCACCGATGTGCATACAGGCGTGTACACAGGCAGGGCACGCGTACAAAGATAACGATCCCCCGGGTAGCCTTCGAGACTGATGCTAGCATTGGCGGGGAATCGAACTGAGATGCTCCGGGTTCGTAGGGCATTAGTTTATTATCTAGCTTGCTGCGCCACACACAGACGCACGTAAACACGCATACATACAGACACGTGCAGATGCATACACGCCCATGCGTGAATCAGAGGTCGCAACCGGGTACCCGATACCCGTACCCTACCCAATACCCGGCTACCCATACCCGGCCGGGTACGGGTACCCGTTTGCGACCCTGGTGCGGCCGGGTACGGGTAGGCCGTGAGTCACTGGTTAGTAACCGTTTGTCACTCATTTCCCAACGTCTTGTCTCCTCTCACAATTCAAGTTCCTAGAATCAACCCACCCGCGCCTGCAACGTGGCTTCATCCCAGAGGTCGCAATCAGTAACCCGATACCCATACCCTACCCGTACCCGGGCGGGTACGGGTAGGGTACGGGTACGGCCGGATACGGGTACCTGTTTGCGACCCTGGTGCGGCCAGGTACGGGTAAGGAATCAAAACCCGTTTGCGACCTCTGGCGTGAATCCAACGTTAACCACGCTCTTACCACGCTGATCTCGGGAACCATGCAGCAGCAACAGCTGTCCCATCAGCTGGTGGGCCGGAGCCAAACTAGCATCTTACTGGTAGAATATTCTTCATTGGGAACGGTTGTTTCCTCCGCAGGACCAAGTGGCTATCACGGGCCTCTCAGGCGCAACGGCTGTCGGTTAAAGTGGAAATAGCTGTTCACTCGGGTTGGACGTGAAGGGCTGTGTCACGTAAACAGCTGTCTGATTGGCTGTGCAAGTGGAGGGGATACAAAGAACAATTTAATGTTTAATTTATCCAGGAGAGCGACACTGAGTTCGAGGACTATTTTTCAGGACGGTCCTTCTTCCTACATTGGGTTTTCACTGAGAGATGTTTTCAGCCCGTTGATGAGTTGTGTTTATTATACACAACTCCAGAGCACCCGGAAAAAACTCACGTGCACGAAGGGGCAACATGCTATCCCCGTACAGATGGAAACAGATGGCGATTAGTCCACTCGCGGTACTGCCTTGCCCTGGCCAGCCAGGGTAGTGTGGCACCTCGACGCCCACGAGGAAGTATCACAACATCTGTGTGATCCACCAACCCTAGCCTCCACAGTTCTGGATGACGGATGTCAGGTGTCTGTAACAGTCGCCGGATCAGCTGGTGAGTGGAGTCCGTCGAGTGCTGTCAGGAGGAATATCAGTCCAGTCAGGTGGACAGGAGGGTCCGGTCAGGTGCCTATGTAAACAGCTGTCTCATTGGAGGTACTCTACAATATTAGGGGGATAAGTTCCTGTGACAACGGCGTCAGCTGGCCTAGGAGTGGTTGTCAAGTGTCTGTCAAGACACAAAAGCTGTCCAGATAGCTGGACAGGAGGTTTCTGTCAGGTGCCTATGTAAGCAGCTGTCTGATTGGAGGTACAATCGTAGGGGGGGATAACAAGTGCCTATGACATCAGCTGTCTCATCAGCTGGCGTAGGAGTGGCAGCAGCAGCAGGAGATGTGATTGCCGTGTTGAAGTCGGGCTCCACCTGCCCGCTGGCTGGGAACGCCGCCTATGAAGCGAGAGATTGAGCCCGGCGATGATGCGCCCAGCACGTGTTGTGTGTGGTGGTGGGGATGTCACACGGCCCGTGCTGGGGGGCCCGAGAAATGGAGCGGGCCACGTGCTGTAGGGCCCTGCCGGAGAGGGGAGTAGCGCGGTGACCCAATTCACGTGTGATTGCGGTGGTTATGTAAGTTCTTTATCGTAAGTGATGCAAAATAGGAATAGGTTTTACCCAGTGCCGGATTAAGCTAGTGCGGGTCCTTTAGCATATGTCATAAAGGGGCCTTAAATAGAAAAAAAACACAAATATTAAAAACATGTTTTTACTTGCGTAGTAAAGTTATTGTATTTTTTCATTTGCTATACAGCCAGATAATACAACAAATCGCTAGCCTTGAACACCCAGTCGTTCATAAAGTGTTATGTAAGTGCAGAATCACTGAACTTTAATTGATAGCTTCAAAGCATTTAGCGCGGGGCCCTTGAAAGTGCGGGGCCCGTAGCATGTATAGCTACTTTTGCTACTAGGATAATCCAGGACTGGTTTTACCCTTTATGGCAAAAAACCAGGTGAGAGTGGGGTTTTCCCCTTTTCTCTGACAACAAAACAGGTGTTAAGATGTTAAAACACCAAACTGAAACCTTTTACAAGGAATCATGTCTGCATTAACCACTTATACTTGTGGTCAGAATGCAAACAAAAAACATACTGTGATAATATATGGCATTGTCTTTGAAACTGATAGGTCCACACCAGAGACAGCTTTCTTTCGAGCCTAGTCTCAAACGGTGTTAGACCAGAATACGCCAAAAGGCTGCACGCCTTTTGGTTAAGATGTTCAAACACCAAGGCATCGAGTCTGCATTCACCACACATACTTTGTGGCAAAACATGCAAACGAACGTGCTCTGAGAATATTTGAGAGCATCTTCGTTGTGCCCTGGACAACAACGTGGCTCTTCTGAACGTGCCCCCCCCCCAATATTCTGTCATTTTGACCGCGCTCAATAGCATCAGCTTTTTCCCTCCAGGCCCCCCACGCACACAAATAGTGTGACATGTTTACAGACATCTAAAAAACCAAAGAGTAAGCATAGGGGGAGTTTGACTTCTATATTTTGGGGGGAGGGGGGGCAAGGGGTTACTTTGTTTAATTAATTTATAATTTTAATGGTAAACTACGGGAAATAAATTAATAAAAGTGCCCAGTTTTGGGGGGGGGGCGGGCATTGCCCCCGGTGCCACCTACGGTGAACGTGTTCAGAAAGCGACCGCCGCCGCGCAAACGTAGTCGAGAAGTGACGAGCGGGGCAGCGTCGACGGCACTGGGACGCCGCTTCACTGCGACTCAGAATCAGGGAGGTCGCGAGGTTACATCGACACTGTGTGTGCGTAAAGGTGGTCACAGGTGTGAACATCTTCTAGACGGACACGTGTACCGTGACACCACCACTGTGCACAAATACTGCACGGGGGGGAGCGGGTACCGGTAGTGACATTAATGCCTCGCCGAACGCGGGGGGATTTACTTCGCTGGAAAACGCCGTGGTGTGTGGGGGGCAAAAACCGCTGTTCTGCGATGCCGGGGTCTGAAATGATCGCCCCATCCCTGTTTGTTTAATCCTACACGAGTTCCCCCCATTGTAATCACACACAACATACATAACATACGTGGTAAATAAAAATTGGGACAACTTATGCTTTGGGGCCATGATTAAACTTTTCCTTAAGTGCACTGGGCACGAACCACCACCATTAATTATATTTATCAGCCACTTGGCAGCCAACACAACAGCGCGGACTATGTGCATGGGTGACGCGCGGAGTGAGACCAGCACGAGTGCGGGGTGCGAACATGGCGACGAGGTATCCATCCGCGGCATCGAGAACACTCGCGGGCCGTGCACTACTGTCTGACGCGGTGCCGTTCTTCTTAGTATCGCCTCGACTCGAAACCTACCTCAATAAGTAAAACTCAACTGTTAAACTTTTATTTGACCAGGTAAGGCCTACGGAGCTCTCACCATTGCATACCTGTCAACCCATACGTTTTACCCGTATTCTTGTACAGGGGAATTAGGCAAAACGTGTTTATTTGTGTTTCTCCCTTGTGATGGTACTTTGTAGGATGAACGTTGAGATCTGTAAGGGCACGGGGTGACCATTAATGTTTGAATTGGTCTGTAATAAGGTAGGCACTGGTAAGGGATTGACCGGGTATGCAAATGATAGCCTCAACGAAGTGGCTCATCGTCGCGTGGACATCATTTTATACCAGGCGAATACTCTCAAGGCATTTCTATTCTAAATATGGAGGGCAAAAAAACCGGGACGACCCCGAGAAAAAGTCCCGCAACCTATGGGGAGAACGCGCAAACTCCACAAATGTCACACACCAGTGGGCCTCGGCAAGGTAAGGTAAAAGTTAAAAGGTAAAAACAACGAGCCTACCTTTACCCTACCTTTTACCTTACCACAATACAATCACTCTACCCTTACCTTTTACCCTTCAGCTGGTAAGGTAAAAGGTTAAAAGCAACGAGCCTACCTTTTACCCTCACCCCATACAGATTACCCGATTACAAGGTAATTACTAGGGAACTACTACACATGAACAAGGTTTATAACGGTAAATGCTAGGTAGAGCGCTTTATTAATATAAAATACTCTCGATGATTCCAATTTTACACGCTTTCTTTTAACTCACTGTTGTCGTATCCTCAAATCTTGTAACTCAATTTTTACCCACTTCCTAATGTGGTATCGACTGCAAACTTCGTATACTTATATCATACTGATGACAATACTATATTCTATCATTCAACAAATATATATTTCTTAACATTCTCTTTTATATGTTTTGTTTCGGCTTGGGTCTAATTGTCCACGCTCAACTGACGTTGGCTGTAAATCACCACGGTCCCTGACGTTATGGCAAGCTTCGGGGCCACTGCCTGGAGTCGTGGAGTTCTGCCATTACTAGTACATTCCATTAAAGCGTGTTTAAAATTTTATTTAATAAATATTACTTATTAAATGGAGGCCACGGACTGCGCCACGGAGCTTTTAGCGGTAAACAAGGTACCGTATTTACCGGGTAATACTTCACGCTACCTTTACCCTACCGGGTAATTCTTCCGAGCTACCTTTACCCTGCCCTTTACCTTGGCATGTCGACATCTTTACTTTCACCCGGTAAAAAGGGTAAATTACCTTAGCTTGCCGAGGCCTACACACCAGGCGTGGGGGTCGAACCACGACCCTCCCGTGGAGCAGGCGAGGTCCCCCACACCACCTCGCCACCGCCTGCCTGCGGGCGGGCACGGGGTCACTGCTTTGTGCTCCGCTCTACAATCCCAGCAGTTATCCACCTTCCCAACACGCCAGGATTTACTCGTCTCGCTCGCTTGTGAGAATATCTTTTAGCGTCCACAAACTCCGCACAATTTAAACTTATTGCACTTTAGCTGGTGCCCCCTTCAGCATATCTGGCTGTAAGCAGCACCTGTTTATGTGTTATTGACATTCCCTGTGATTTACCTGCAGGCTTACTCAGCCTTTGCACAGGAAACAACAAATACTCCTAGGCGCTCGAGAAAATATGAAGCAGAAATACAATATTCCATGGTTGCTGATTGAGCCGCCGTGTGAGCGAATGTGTTTTCATCAAAGCCACGGAAGTTATTTTTAGCCACTTAATATGTGACGAATACAAATAAGGTGGCTGGAAAATATAAATGCAGTCACTCCCGACAATGAATCCGGGACACGCCGGCATTCGATGAGACGTTTTGACCACAGCAAAGGAGGTGGTCATCGTCGGTCCGTACAACTGCGCAGGTTGTCCTGGTTGTGCTGCTGGATATCTCTCCGCTGGCTTGTCAGGTTCTGCACGATGAGCAAACTGAAGAAGCTCCCAGCATGTGGAGAGAAACGTCGGACATCATGCTGAACAACACGCGCCACAAATAAAACACGCGGTACACAACCAGAAGACCCATTTGAGAAAGCTGTCATAATTTTGTCATCCTTCAGACTATCGTCCTTACTAATGATCACTATAATCGTCTCTTGCTGTAAGGCAGTTCCACAATTTCTGACGTACATTTCAGACACTTGAAAGATGTGAGCAATCATTAGTGTCATCACGAAGTGGCATTTTTACTTGGCACAGTGTGTCAACCGATTAGGACTGTTTTTGTTTCTCGTCAATGCTGACATGATTCTGGTTGCTTCGTCTCAGCTCTCCAGCACGTGACGATGCAGGGAGACCTCTGAGCTGCTGGCACTGAGTGGTGACTCCTCCCACTGCCTTCTGCACCTCGGCGGTGCGAGTTGGACATGCAGAGTTTTAGCCATCCTAGGTAAAAGTAAAACAATCTTTACCGTTTTTTAAATGCCTTAGAGCCTCGGTTACAAGAATGAAGCTGTAAACACATCCTTTTGTTGTTCCTGCTCAGTTTGTCATGTTACCTTTCGATCACGTTTTAGTGTAAAATAAAAACCTGTTTAGTTCACGCTTGCGATGGCTACATTGCCGATTGCGGCACATCAAATGGCACGAATATAAATATCTGATGGTTAAGACTAACTAGCAACCAGCGGACAATGACATAGACTAGCAAAACAAATTAGTACCAAGGTACAAAACCTGATTTCGGATCAAAATTGATTTCCCTTTGTAACGTGAGAGAAATGCTCGTAAAATACTCGAACCAACTGACTTTCTCATCCACACTGGGATGGTGAAGGTTCGTTCAGTTTTGTGTTCATGGAAAGCCGTTGATTTATGCCGTAAATAATTTTTCCCATCACTACACAATTACTTAAAAAATTATACCCCATAAGATGTGTATATTATTCGGATGATCTTGAAATGTTGATTACTATTGTGTAATTTGTGAACACATCTCACTGTTCATTACAAGGCTGGTGTGGCCCCAATTTATATTCACGAGCCAATATGATATTTTAACAGCCCTCGTGGATTGGTGAAGGTGAGAAGCCGGGAACGTAAAAGTAGCGTACAACTGTTGATTTTCATGCATTGCCCTCTGCTGCCCATCATGCAGCCCAACAGGAGCTTATAACCTGCTGTGCATGGTGGTCACTCATCTAAGCACTAACCGGCCTCAACCCTGCTTAACTTCTGAGATCTGATGATATCGAGTGCATTCTGAGTGATTTGGACAGTACAAAACTTAGGTGCAGGTTGTACCGCACTGTTAGGAACGATGTCCGACGTTTCGCTCCACGTGCTGTGGGAGCCTCTTCAGGAGCTGCCGCACGTGAATCGAAGCATCGGACTTCGCCTGTCGAACTACACGCAATGCGACCCAAAACAGAGTTTGGCGCAGAAGCTCAACCGCTATGCCCTCTGCACTTGCCATAATACGATGGTTGTGATGATGGTTTTCAAATCGGCGTACATCTCTTCGTGTGTGCAGATGAAGGTGGAGTTGATTGAGGCCTACGTGAGGGACCTGATGGAGCAGAAGGAGCTGCTCCTGCAGATCGTGGGCAGCCTGCAGGCGGAGGCCGACCGGCGCATTGCTGACATGATGAAGAATATCGCGGTGAGGGGGGGAGGGAGGGGGGCAGCACCGTCAGGCTCGCACGTCACGTGCGGACTACGGTTCGTGCAGACCGCAGAACCGTGGCGCTCTCCGCTAACCCATGCCAGGGGGCTTGGAGGTCCGGGTGCTGAGCCAACACCGTTGAAATCCTGGGTTTGCGGCAGGTTACAGCTACTTGTGATTAAACCAGGTTCTCAGGACACGAAATTTAGTTCTGCACTTAATTTGGAAAAATTTGACACGGAGAGATCATTATTAAATTCAACACTGATTGTCATGTGACAAATATAATCTCAGTCACAAAGTCGATAGTAAAGTGCAGTCCCCCAGCGCAGTGCTTCTCAACCCGTTTCACTCCACAGCACTCACCTTGGGCTCGCTCGACCGGCTCGCTCGACCTTAGTGGCACACCGAACCAAAACCTCACGGTGGGCCCAGGTGGGTGGCTGGGAAGGTGTGGTCGCTAAGATAATTCACGATCATTTGTTTATATTCATTTTATTGAGAACAAGGAAATGAAGTGGCGCTACTAACTGCGTGAGTTTATTTGCGTTTATTGGAGTGTCTCGGTATCTGTGTATCACTGTGTCTCCATGTGAGTTTATTAATGTGTGTGTCTTGTGTCTCTGTGCGTGTCGGTAGTGTAGCAGTTAGCGCACTGCGCTACGAACCTGGCAACCCGAGTTCAATTCCTGCTCATGGCCAACACCAGTGACGATTATCTAAACCAGTTATGGGCCTCCCCTAGGTCGAAAAAGCCTCAAATTAGTACCTGGTGCGGTGTGTAAACATCGCTACTCGGAATACAAAGGCGCTCGGGCGTGGTGCTGGCCACCCACCCCCTCATGTGCCGTACCGGCCTTCATAGGTGCTCGCTTACAGCACTTGCCCCAACAGTCTGAAAAGGCTCTACGGGGGATTTTTGTGTGTGTCTGCATGCCTCTGTGTGTCTCAAGTAAATAAATGAACATTCATTCCATGCAGGAATTTGTGCGGTTGAGGAAAGTGTGGCAACAATGATAATATTATTACAACAACCTGAAGAAATCCTCTTCAGGGTGCTTTATAATGTAAATAACAGCACTTCCCGCGCATGTGTATTCATGTGCGGGAGCAGAACATATGCACACACACACGAGACAATCACAATAACACCGGCACCGTGGAACGTCTTGGAGCGGTTTAAGGTGGACTGTGCAACACCTCGGTGTAACTTTATAAATACCATCATTGCACAGCTAGCTCAGTGTAGGCTTACAATGGAAGGACATTCATACAAGTCCCAGTCTTGTTCAGAATAATGGAGTTGTCGAGGTTGGGCAGGCTAAAGAATGGTTGTCTGTTACATTGATTTCAAGACTGGGGATGTGATAGGTGCCTGTTGCTGGGTTTGAGGTGGACTTCCCATATGATTGGACATTGGGCCAGCCTGATTGATAATAGATTTTTGGAGGCTACGTAATGATCTAACCAAATTTGTGTTGTGAGACCCTCCAGCACGCAACACAACTAAACTAATTACATTGTTAAACGCTCGTACACCACGTTTAAAGGTCGGTTCTCGCGACAAAATTCAACAATGTCCCATTGCCAAAATGCTAGCGCAGATGACCGATGCCCCCGCAGGCCTGGTCTATCTTATCTCCTGGCTCGCCCCACCAAATACAGAAGGACGAAAAAGTAGTCTTAGCGAGCATATGTCGCGCACATTTGTGGACGTACCATATTTTCCATCGCTGAAGCCTGAAACGCGACATGCCCAAAGCATCCACAGGTGTGGGCAAATATTTACTCACAACATGGACGAATGACCAATAGAATAAAAGAAAGGGTCGAGATGTGCATTGTTTAGCGTTATCGCGCGTATTGAGCTGCTCCTGCTGCCATTAACCATCCAATGACATTATAATTGGTAGCCCAGTAACGATTCTTCCTCTGCAGTGGCTTCAGGAATTGTCACGATTTAGGGTCGCGTTTTGATTGAATTATGGATTCTCTTTGGTCTTCGTACTATCCAATGTACCGGTAGTTTGGTCTGTCTCATATTGTTCGTTATTTTAAAGGGAGGAATTTCATTTAATATGCATAAACGGTAATTGATTAGTGCACGCATTTGGCTATAGCTTCGGAAGTATATTTAATTAAATTGTTTGTAAGTACTCACAGTGGTGAGTGAGAAGACGTGCTCAATGTGTAACCCAACCCGGTAAACCCCGCACTTGAATCGACGATCTGCTACACGCCTAACGGGTGTTTTACATTTTTCTATGCAATATATCCAGGGTAAGCCCCTGTGCAGACAAGCGGGCACATATGGAACACTGCGTGAGAATTTAATCATGAATCCGTTTCAGTTAAATCAATGCGCACCACGCTCACCCTTTCTTTAACCAATGAACTGTGAACGTTGATACAACAAGGGGACCCAAGAGCAACTGCACTCATTAAACCCCCCCCTCCCACTGCTGCCCAGGAAAACAATGAACAACGGTGGATTTACCCAGCCTGCTGAGTTACTCGTGTCTCTGCTTGCAAGAATGTACACGTGGACGTTAGAAGGAGGCAACCATATTGACTCGTGTGATCTAAAACAAAAAGTAATTGACGGAAGAGAGTTGTGAATAACCTTGCACGGTTAAAGGCAGCCACCTATACGGAGATGCCCACAGATTAGCGTCTCCCACGGTGTAACGCGGTTATCTGGTGGTGGGGGGTACCTAAATATTGGAAATAAATTAAAATGGCACCCTTACAGCTCAACAATTAACGACGGCGTGCAAAGCATTGCCCACATGCGGGTGACCTTCGTCGCAGCGCAGGAACACTGTGCATCAACGCAGTCCCAGTTTGGTACAGTGCTGCACAATTTCTCCTTTGTAAATTGTAAATGTTGTGGGTTTACTCTCTAACACACCGGTGTGCTGAACTCGTCACTAATTGGCATGTTTTTGTTTACGTGACAAACCTTATGAATTAGCTGTGTTGGGTGATGGCAGGTTTAACGACGCATTTATAAACCTCTTTTATTAATTCCTTATGCACCACTTGCATTGTGCTTTTCAAGCATTGGCTTTTGCGACTTTAAGTGGATTTAGTCTTGCTTTTTTACATTACATACAGAAAGCATTACAAGCCATTCATATATGAACTAAAATAGGTCTTCATGGAAATAACAGGATTATGTTAAGATAACGAATATACTGGGGCAACCCACACCATGAATTAGCCCGTGATTTCGACTTACACAGTGTAGAACTCTGACTGTAGCAGAGCCGGCCTCGGTGAAAGAGTCTGTAAGCTGACTGATAAAGTTTGCAAGGCAGCCTGTGTAATGAGTGGGTGGGTGGTCACACCTTGTACAACAAACTTGCTCATATAATTGGACAATATTTAAAATAATAATTTACAGTTTTTTGTTAAATCCACTGCCGGATGAAGGCTTTTCCTCTGTGTTGCCATCGGGATTTTTTTTACCATACTTCACCATGATGCGGTCGTTGTGGGTTGGTAAATGGGAGGTACTCAGGACAAGTTTAGATGTCACCCACCACCGATGTTAGTCGTGCCGGGGAATCGAACTCGGGTCATCGGGTTTATGATGCGGCACGCTAACCACCACGTTGCCGCTTCCCCCATTACTAGGAATAATTACCGATGCTAAACACACAGTCTGAATGTCTAATGCAACTGCTGTTGATGTAAAGTGCTCCAATATTAATTTTAACATTTTCGTGTGTTTAAGTGGCATGTTTATCTTAACGGGAGTTAAGCAACACACGCCAGACAGCAGCATGACATAAACCCGCCAGGCTCATTATCATGGCCCTACACACAGCCCCATTCATTACCACCGGTGGTGTCGTGACAGCTGCTGCAGCACGCTCACTTCCTGCATACGCAAGCGAAATACAGAGTGGAGCGTCTGATATCGCGGGCACATTTTTTTTCATTTGCAAAGCTTAGTTTTCGGCAGGGTGGCATCTCGCCATTGTTTGTCGGTCCCACGTAACGTTCGGGGGCAGCTGTGAACTCACACGGAATGGAGTGGAGTTGGCAGCGGCGCAGCACGCGGCCTAAACAGTGATACACGAGTCCAAGTGGGGTGCCACCCTGGGGCGGGGGGTGCGTCGCGGCTCGCGCTGCCCCTACCAGGGCGGAGTGCCTTCGTGCCTTCCATTGCCAATGAGGTTTTAACATTATCCACGTAGAAATTTTGGCAAATATTTTACGGTCCTGAGATTAACCCTGGGGTTTTTTTCCTCCCTATCCACCGCCATCCTCTGCCTGTTTGATCAGACGCCGTGTGGAATGGTAAACATGGAAGACGTCCCCGGCAGCCCTGGTGTGTGTGCTCTCTCGCTGATGGGCATTGTGCCTGCTGGGATTCTTCCGTTCAGAGCGATGCCGACAGCTTAGGGACGTGTGATCAGAAAGCCATATCTCCGATTTTATTGCCATGAAATCTAAATGCTAATATCCATAAGCTTGATACAAGATTTTTGTGTGAATACCATGACAAAGGTTGCATTCAGGATTCGTTATGAAGGATATTTAAAAATATATGTTTTCGTCTATAAATGTAGTTTTTCTTTTAAAAAGAGGTTTCATAAACTGAACAAAAGGACAAGCGTGCACCATGCTTTCCCATATAATCGCCGCTGATGCTCACATCTTGCGACGCAGGCACACACGTGCCACGGCAGCCTCGCTCTTGTTGAATCTCCACTGAATGGAACTCGTCGAGCGGCATGCTTAAGCCCATAGTTGTGCAAATAGTGTCGCGACGGGCCTGTAGCCGGGCATGGCCTCATCGACGGCGACTGTGCAGTCTCCTAGGCCTTACAATGCCCGTTTCACATACGCATCACCCACTAGGGTCGGTGTACGCTCAGAAATCACTCAATTTGGATTACATAGAGCTATCGTTGCCCCCTACTGGCAGACAATGCCGTTTTCAGGCCAGGTGCTGAGCCATCTTGTGCCATGCAGGGGTGGCTGCCCCTGGGGGTGCCCTTTCAAATGCTTGATGTGATGTAAGTTTCTTATCATGGGTCTTGAGACTTACTGACGTAAATGGCTTACTATAAAAATATATATATAATTGTTAGATAGCGGCTGGAAAAAGCATAGTATACAAGTAACATCCAGAGCCTCCAGTCCCCCAGATAATGTAGGGGATGAAAAAGTTATCTGTGACAAACTCCACATATGGAAATGCAGCACGTTGACCTTGATTGTTTTTTTTTCCCCAGCTATAGATCTGTCTGTGAATCGGCTTTTGCTTGGACGGTCGAGTGCCGGAGAAGTGAGCTCGGGGACAGACAGTTTAACCCTTTCACCCATGGTGTAATCTCTCTAACAAGGTCAGCGCCCTCACCCACACTACAATGTGCTGACCTGTGGCATGCGAAGAAAAGTGTTGGGGAGGGTCGGCTCAAACCACTCTGGGCAGCGGCATCTCCTCGCTGCTGTAGTGCGAGTGCTGCACATTGTGAGCTCACAGTGTAAGGTGTAACAAGTGCATGGGTCCTTGTTGTAATTTGATTTGCTCCCTCGGGTGGGAAGGTTGAAGGTGAAAGGTTACCCTTCCCGGGTAGGGTCACGGTTAGTGAGATATCACCGCTTCGGTAAATGATGTAATGGGAAACCGCGTAGAACCATCCCTTCCTCCTTTCTGTGCCGTTTGCACTTGACCGGGTGCCGCTCCGTGCAAATAAAGTAAAATCTTCCCCACCACCCACCTTTGCTCCACCCTGCTGTGCAGGAGAGGGTTAACAGTGCGTGCGCGGTGTGCGCAAGAAGCGCGGCGGACACTGCGCGGAGCTCCGAGCCGGGCGGACGCTCTGCACCGCAAGAACGTCGCCCCTGCAGGAGGAGTTGGGTCGCCCGTTCGAGGCTGCGGGGCACGGTGGCCCCAGCCTGCCCCGTGAAGTGAGCACCACCCTCCCTCCCCCACCACCTTACTGGCTCAGGTTGTGGCATGCGGTTAATTGTTAATATTTTAAAAGGTTCGTCCCAGAGCAAACTCTATATTTTTTTCCACTACTGCGGTATAATGGGAGCTTACTTTTTCATTGAGAGAAACAGATGTTTTGGCTTGTTGGAAGGTTTGAATAGGTTATAGATGACGAGTAGCCGCAGTCATAGTTCGAGGTATACTGGTGTGGAAATATTTTTATGATGGCCGATTCGGATAGACCCGGCTGAAATCAAGTATTGGGAGTCATATGTGTAGATACACGAGTATTCATTTGAATAAATATACATGACTCGTCCTCTCCGCAGAACAATAACCTTAGTCCATAAACCGACAATTGGCTTTCTGGAACAATGTTATCTAGCAGATGTCTTTTAGAATGAACATTGTGGATCGCTTTTAAGAATGCATTTAAAAAATTTAAGGAGCATCTAAATGTTACTACTTAAAACCGTGTGACCAATGTCACGTATTGGCAACACTTCTAAAAATACATGTAGGAAAACAGTCTGCACATTTTCAAGTGACCGCCTAGTGTTTGAGCGAGAGGCGGTAGAATAAACGTACGAACTGTTAGAAATTAGAATTGACCATCGGGGCCCCTGCGACAGGAACACCGACGCTGCCATGTGTGTGTGCGTGTGCGCCTGCGTGGGAGAGCGTGGGGGCAGGAGGCCCCGTCACCCACACGTGTTTTTAATAAACCGGCTCCCACGACGCCGCTTGGTCGGCAATTGAGGCCCTTTCCTGGGCCTTTGTGGCCTATGGTTGAATTGCCCTCACGTTGACATGGGCTGGCGTTTGGGTTCGGGCTGCTGGGGGAGGTGGAAGAGGAGAGAGAGAGAGAGGGAGGGCGCTTCGTCGTCGCTGCCGTGGCTGTGACCCATGGGGGCTGGGAGGAGGGAGCAACTCCATGGGGCAATACGGTCACTGCTTGCATCCACACTGCTGCGATTATGATGTAATTGACTGGTATCTGATTTGACCTTTGCTGTTGAATTATACAATAAAAGATGAGCTTTTATATTCCAGCGCTAAATACACGGCATGCCGTATGGCTGGGTGTCGAGGCGCGCGCGCGCACGCGCGCGCACACAAACGCAATCTAAATGTAATATCAAAGCGACACGTTAATTTACTCTCTGCATAGAGGAATACAAATAACGCTGCTGCACCACTGTCTTTCACAAAAGCCCATGAGTGCAGTGAGGTACGGCCATATCTCTGTGGAGGATGGCTTGGTCTTTACTAGAGCCCTGTTGCGGACCACCAGGCGTGTTGCACACCCAAGGAGGGCAGTTTACGATACACGCGCGAGATGTTAATGATCGGCAATTAACGTATTATTGGAGCTACATCTGGTATTCGTTTAGAGCTGATTGATATTGTTGACTTGAACCTGCGGGTGACCTTAAGAAAGGAATTTTTTGCCAGCTTTCCCTCTCGTCCCTTTGTTTGCAGTCTTGACAGTAACATTTGACGCTCTCTGCGATTGCTGTGTGGCTATCGACAATTAAAGAGGAGCTCTTTACCATTCTGCAGCCACACTGCCACGCGCTCTCAATTCGTTTCTGTCCGCAAATCATTCGTCGCCGTAAATATTAACGCTTAATTCACCCCCTCGGTGATTACCGGAGTGCGCGCCGCTTGTACGGACTCTCCAGTCGTGGGTGCACAAGTGTGCGTTTAGCGCGGGACAATGGTGGGGTCGCGACCCAGGCCGGCTTGAACAACTGGCGGCGGCCGAGCGGTCGGCAGGAGCTCGAGCAACGCGAGGCAACGCGTCCGAATGGCGGATCTCGGCGCGTTCATTGCGACGGGCCCCCGCTTTCCCGAGCAGCGGCGCGCGCGAGCGATAACGGGCGGGCGTTTCGCGGCGCCTCTAAAGCATCCCGACGATCGCACGGCGCACCTCGTCCGAAATTGGTGGCGGGGTGTTTGAGTGGCAGATCAATATGCCTTTGTTAATAAGATGACCCGACGTGTACGGGGTGCAAGGGTACCCGTCAAGGACAAAGTGCCGACTTGCTGCGGCACAAGCATGGCTTCCAGACAGCCTTTGAAATGTTCTTAAAAAGGATCCTTTCATTTCCACGTGCGGCAAAGCGTTCCGCAGGGTTTTTCACTGCCTCCGCGGCAGTCTTGCGGCGCCGCGCGGTCCAGCGTAGGCAAGGCGTGCGTTTGGCTTTAGTTGCGTTCAGGATGAATTAGTTTTGAATTTATATTTTGGTCTCGATTTTACGCTTGTCGACGCTTTGTAAAATTGTCCACTTTAAATTTAAGAGTAATGTTGGATGTGTATTTAGAAAATAAATATTTTATTTGTTCTACTAAAAACCTGAAATTCATGCGCTTGTAGAAGATATTTTTTTTAAATCTTCATTACAGGATTATTTTATTAGATTAATTCGTTCAGAAAAAAACGAACATATTTAGCGCACATTTTAATAAAGTTCTGCAACATAGTAACATTAAAACAGTTATATTCAACTTTAAATATTACGGTTCTGCAACTAAAAGAAATAAAGTGAGTGACGCTCATGCCGAAATGACGGCGGACAATAGCGTCGCTGTTCGCACCGATAGTTGTTTGTTCGTTAGCGCCATTAATCGGGCCTGAGATTGGCGAAAGACATCGATACCCGTGGTTTAAAAAATGATATATTTTCCGTAAACTATGGAATGGTTCCACTGTAGCGCCACCGCCAACTTGGCGCCCACCCTGTGCCTGGACACTCGCCGTTCTCTGCCCGTGCGCCCACCCGCCTGCTCGCACAATTGTGCTGTCCGCTGGCTCACGTGCCACCCGCAGGCCGGCTGCCTCACTTTCCCGCCACTCGCTGCCCATCCCCTGACCTGTTCGCTATCATACCGCCCGACGGCATGCCCACTTGTCGTTGCCTGCTGCTCGCTCGCCCACTGTCCACCCACCCGCTTGTTCATTTGCTGCCCGCTCGCTTACCTGCCTGCCGCATACCTCCCCATCTGCTCGCTCGCACACTTGCTTGTCCGCCAGCCACCCGCGCACTCCCTTGCCCGCTGCTTGCCCACCTGCTCGTTCGCCCGCTATTCCAACGACCGGCCGCCCGCTTGCGCACCCGCTCAGTCACTCGCTTGCTGCTTTTCCACTCGCTCGCAAGCCCACTGCCTGCTCAATCGCTCGCCCGCCCGCTCGCCCGCCCGCCCGCTCGCTCACCCGCCTGCTCGCTCTCCGCCTGCCTGTCCACTCGCTAACCAACCGCCCGCCCGCCAGCCCGCCCGCCCGCTCGTCAGCCAACCCGCCCATTTGTCTGCCACTGTGCAGCAACGCTCGTTTGCGTGTAGCCCTAATTAACATGCACAGCGAAGTGCCCTCATTTACAATGCAAATCTCTCGGCAGCTTGCCATGCCGGGGCCGCGCTTCGGGGCTGCCTGTTAATTATGCACAAGGCTTTTAAGTAGACAGCGATTTGGTCTTTTGCCAAAAATCCGGATTTTATCTTCTAAGAAAAGCAACGCTTTCAGGACACGTATCCACTATTGATTCCGGCAGCGAGCGCTTCCCGTGCATTTTATAAAATCTCAAATAAATCCAATCGTGCAGAGCGATGCGCGTTTATCCTCGTAGCCTCGTTATTGTAGACTGGGAGTCCGTGAGTTCACGATAGCGCAGCTGTATGCGCGCGCTAATTTTCCGATAGTTGCTTGAATTAAAGTTGCTCCTTGGTGCAGCCCCCATGAGCGAATGGACAGTGCGGCGCCTCCGTCCAGCCGCTTCGTCTCCACGCAGCGATTCGGCACACAAACTTTCACTGTAATCCACAACAACTTGTATTCCAGCGACGGTAATAATTCCAGCGAAGCGAATTCCATCCCGAAGACACACACTCAATTTGCTAAGTGCAGCATGGCCACATCCCTGGTATGAAAACTGCATCCATTGAATTTGTTTTAATCCGTTGTAATTTGTACACATCCACGGCGATGTTGTAGAGCTGCTTGCTTTCCAAACTTTTTCCTCCGGCCCTGGTAGAAGTCGTATTGCCTTGCGGGTAATTCGTCTGATTAATTCAGCCGGAGCGGGCGAACTCCCTGATTAACATGCAGGGCAGGGTGGAGTTGTCTGGGCTGCGGCTGAGCGCGGGGTGTAAATTGTCTGCTGATGGTGGGAACGCTCGAAAAGTGCAGACGGCTACAGAAAAAAAAACCGAGGGGGAGAGAGAGTGGCTGGGCGGAGCTTACTGTACGTTTAGGAGCCCCTCTGGAGCCTACATCGCCTTTTGAAAGTTTTGTCCCGATACGTAGCAATAGCGGCTGCTATCACTGCGAGTGTATCAACAGCATGAATGGTAAAAAAATGTACAACAACAAAAAAATCACCGTGAAAAAATGACTAATCCATAACGGAAAGCACAATTTAAGCCGAATTGTTTAATGGCCATAATGAATGCCATTTTGTTAGAGTATTGATCCACTTATCATTCCGAACATTCCGTTTTTTTGTGTCAGATAAAGCCCAATCGAAGCGCAGAATTTTCGACATTCGGTACGGCGCGTAGCGAGCGCCATGCGGCGCACGGATTCCATCCTGTAGCCGGGCGGAATGGCAGGCAGGCCCACCGAGCGGTCGGCGTGCAGGCAGCTTGGGCAGGCAGGCAGGTGAACAGGCAGGTGGTAGGTAGACAGCCATCCAGGCGTGCGAGCAGGAAGGTGGACAGACGGGCAGGCGGGTGGACAGCCAGCCAGGCAGGCAGGCAGGCCGGCCGGCTGGCAGGGAAGCAGGCAGGCAGGTTTGCAGGCGGGAGAGCGAGTGGACATGCATGCCGGGAGGCAGAGCATCCCCGCAGCGCACGGAGCCAGTCGGTCTCGCGGAGTGCTTGCCGCTCATCAGGACAGCACGCTAATTAGAATCCCGCAGTTGAAACAATGAGGCCGCGCCGGGAAGCGAGGCTTGCCGATGTCGCGTATGTGTCCGGGAGCCGTTGCATTCTGCCTTCCCTTCCTCCAGTTCGTAGCGCAGCTTGTGCCGCATCGACGTTGAATCTCCATTTATATCCAGCCCAGCAGTGGGAGCCAGGCCCTGATTGGTTTGCGGTATTGATCAGCCCCCAGGAGTTGATAATGCGCTCGTCAATACTTATTGCATTGCGAAAATCCACTGCTTTTTAACAGATGTGTTCACCTCTCTCTCTCTCACCCTATCCTAATTCTTTCTCCTCTGTCTGCCCTGTCCCTCTGTCTTATACACTTTGTCTTTCTTTCGGTCATGGCCACTGTCTCTCTCGATGTATGTCTAGCCATGCTTCTCTCTACACATGCCTTCACTGTCTCTCCCTATCCTGCCACGTCTACCAGTACTCCTCTTTCTGGATGTCCTTTTATATCTCGCTCGCTCTTCCTTTTTCCCCTCATCTGGTTTGGCTTTTGTTGGGCGACACTTCGGGCCTGCATCTGACCGGGAGACTGCGGCTGCAGTTGGCGCCGAAGAGCGACACGCCGGGGAAGACCGCGTCAGAACCGGGCGGCACGCTGCCACTCTCCGCCACTTGTGTGAGTCTCACTTTATCGCCCGCTCTGCCCGCTCCACCCATCCGTTCCATCCGCTCCGCTCGCTCCACTCCCGCACCATTATGGCCCGCCTGTCCACTGCGTCCGCACGTCCCCCATCCTCCCCGTTGGCATGGGCAGCCCCACTCAGTGATGACGCGATCCGAAAAGCTCATCTTCTGGACGCTCTCGTCTAAATTAAGTTTGAGTTTAGTTTCTAAATTGTTTTATATCCAGGACACGTGCCACAACTCGCTGTTTTTGTCTTCAATTCGTGCCACATTTGTGTCGCTAGGAATGCCGCAACTTTAGGTTAGTCGCATGGATTTTCCACGGAACCTCGGTGATGCGCGATTGTTCATAACACACTTTCGTATTAGTTGGCTATTAACCTCCAACTAAGTAAAAAAATATCCGTAAAGAAGTTTTTGTTGTCGATTTATTTTCCCCCGAAAAAGGCAGCGTGAGAACAAAAATCCGTAAGTTGGCGCGCCGGGGACTTTAGCAGCATCGCGCCCGTTGCCCTCCTGCCCGCGCCGCCCCGCGCGGCACTCTTGTTTCTCCGCGATTCAACAGCTTGCATACCAAGCGGAGCCCCGCACAGGGGGGGTTGGGGCGCACCGGCAGGCTGGCCCTGCCAGCTGCCGCTCCTGGCACTGCCCAAGGTTCGCCGATCGCTAATTCCTCGTTGTTGTCGTCGCGCGCAACCGCGACGCGGGTTTCGCGCCCAGTTCCACGCCCGTGCTTGGCAGCGAAGCGGGCACCGGCTCGCCGCGCCGTCCGCGCTCCGTCCGCATCGCAAAGAGCGATCGCGCTTTCCACCGATGCGTCGATTGCGCCCGCGCCGCGTTGTAATCCACTCGTCGACTTAGGAGCGACTCCCGACAATTAAGAGACGACTAATTTTTTTAAAGCTTCCCGATTTCATCTCGTTATCGACCCCGGCTCGAGCGCTCATCAAGGCAGCAGCAGCCACGAAGTAACGCGCTGCGTGCGTAAACGAAAGCGGAGCTCCGGAAATGTTTTCTCTAAGCATGCAGGCTACCATGAAGCTCTGTGGCTCGTCTGTAGCGAAAGCTGCGCTCTCCTTTCGCTTTTATTTTCCACTGCGCGTGTGACGCCGCCGAGACGGACCCCTCCCTTGCCCACCCTGTGCTGCGGGTGTAAAAAAACTGCCTCTCCCCTCCCCTCGCCTCCTCGAACCTGAACCACTCATTGGCTGGCACCATGCCAGCCTGCGCTCTCCCCCTGCTTCCCCCCGTGCTCTCCCTCCCGCACTCCCCTCCGCCGACGTGACTTTGGGCTAATTAATGAGAGGAGAGTTAATTGCCCTGGCAAGCTGCCAGGACGCTATCTGATGTCCCCGGAGGCGCTGAGCGGCTAGAGCCGACGTACGCGAGCTGCGCTGCGCCGCGTTGCGCTGTGTAGCGCGAACGAGAGCGCCGGGCGCTTGCGAGAGCGCCCGGCGCTTGCGGGAGCCCAGCTACTCGCCCGGCCACTCGCCCGGCCGCTCGCCTGGGCCAGCGGCCGCTGCCTTTGCGCGTCCCCCAGTTGTCGGCGGCCCAAATACTGCCGTGGAGAGCGCCCGCCTGCTTGCGGCGCCTCGTTAGCACGCCGGCGGCCGCTCGCTATTTGCTCATTGGCGGTGGTGGCGGGTGCTGCGCAAACTTGGCTCGGGACACCTAGCAAGCGAACGTGCGGAACTTTGTCCCCTCTACGGCGCCCAGTGAGCGAGCGCACGCGAGCTGGCGCTGCTGTACGAAACGTCGTTCGCGCCAGCGAACGTTCGTTCCCACCGCTCCGTTCGTTATTGTTAGCGCTGCTCATTTAGCTCTCACTAGAGCGGTAATTTTTTACAAGCCAGGTCTCCTGTGCCGAGTGGGCGGTATGCTAATTTGCGTGTAGGGTCTGGCGTGCCGGTACGCTGATGGATGTGCATTTGCATAATGCATATTGTAAATAATGAATGGATGGCGGCCCCTGACAGATATGCAAATGGTCCGGTCGTTATGCAAAATCACTGCGGGCGGCCGGGGGTGGAGCCTGCCTAGGTCTGGGTGTGTGGCCGTCGGACACTCGCACCCCACCACCACCGTCACCACCACTGTCACTACTGCCACTGCCACCGTCACAGTCAACGGTCTCAATATGCAATCGGCCGCTCGGGCCTAATGTGCAAGAAAAGACAAAAAGAAAACCCACCAAAAAGGTTACTTTCCACCAGCATGTTCCCACGGATTTGCTTTTGATAGGTTTTTTATGTGGCAATGTTAGTACCTATTATTTGCCACATTAAACGTATGGTTTACGTGGTTTTCTTTCATATATTTCTGTGGAAGACGATACTTCCGTTCCATTCCTTGCTGAATCTGCTGTGCGTTCCCGTGCATGCCGATTCTACCCCACTTGGGCATGCGCACGCTGACCAGAAAAGTGTTTAAAATTACACAACTGGGTTTATACGCCTTGAAACGATGGTAGAGAACAGTGGGCAGTGTGCAAATGCACTCCGGTTACAATGAAAATATTTGTTAAACGTTGCTGTACCGTGAGAGTTCTCGGAGTAATTTTCCTCGCCGGGCTACCTGTTGCACCACGGGGTTATTCCTTCACTCTCGTTATTACACGCATTATTTGCACTGTTATTGCCCGCCGTTTAACATCTCTGAGTAAATACCACTTGGGTTTCATAAAATCAACCCCCTTCATGTTACACAAGCAAACACTTTGGACGTGTGTTTGACCGCGATGATTGTGGATTTACTCTGGAACTAGGTGTTTTTTTTCCTCCCGTTAAGTTGGACAAACTGCTGGAGTTTTTTTTTAACTGCTGTAATTGCCGCCGTGCTTGGGATTTACTCGGGCTGCTTGGCGCGACCCCGTGGTGACCTCATCCGTCCATCCGCGTGACCCCCGCGTGCGTGCGTGTGGCAGTGTGGCGGCGACAGAGGAGGAGGAGGAGCCGGGGGGAAGGCGCTGGGGAGCCGAGGACCCGTGTGGCGTCCAGGGACGCGCTCACAGAATGCCTGCAGGGCCAGCTCCGAGATGCGCATCGCAAGCTCTCACGTTGAGGTAGCTCGTCTGCTCGTTGGTTACCTGTACACGTGGCCTTCGCTAGGCGGGCACTGGCGTGGGCCCTGCACCACTCAATGTCCCTAAATTGAAAACTCATTTCTTTAGAACTGCTTTTTGTGTTTAGTTTGTTGGCCTTCCCCCACACGTCCGGTGAGCACGGTTGGCTATGTACGGTGCTAAAGAAGTTCAATATACAGGCAGTTCCCGGATTGATTATGGTAGGGTTAGGTTCCCCAGAACGATCCGTTCCTGAATTTTCCGTATGTTGGAAACCTGAAGAATATTCCCCCAAAATCAAGATGAAATCCAATAACTGGAAATAGTTGTGCCTCCCGTACCTGATTACTACTTCGTTTTCTCTCATTACTGTATCATATAGTACTGTAGCATACAGTATTGTATGATACAAAAGGAAAATAATGACATAACGAGATAAAAAAATCCATTTACTTTACGAGGTAAATGGTCGACGCGGTATTCATCTGCAACCTCACTGCGCTGCACTATTTGCGGTTACGTAACCAACGCAAACATTTCCGCATGTTGAATTTTTTACACGATTTATTGGAGCATTTCCGTAAAGTCGGATTTCCGTAAGTTAGGTCTTCTGCAACCCGGAAACTGCCTGTACATACCTCCGTACGTCCCTGTGGCCCACCCAAGTTCACTCCCCTTAGCGGTGTGATCACCGTTATGGTGGCCCACCACACGACAGCTCTACTGACACCCCGGTCCGAGAGGAGCTGGAGTGGAGACTGCCGGTGCAGCGTTTGTCACAGTGCCTTTGAGTTACCTGCGCCGATTGTCGACAAGTCCTTGTCCCTCTCCGTGTCTCGGGCATTTGTGTCCAATTCATAAAGTTCTACCGCTCACAGAACGCTTAGCTGGTGCCACCGAAAGGCTGGATTTTATTCCAGCCTACCGACTGTGATTAAAATTGTGTTCTCAAGCGTAGTAACATTTAAACATTTTATTTCCCGCACCTCCGATTAGCACGGACATTTGTCAATGCTGGATATCTGTGAAAAAGAGCTTCATAGCCCATTGCATTCATCCAGTCTAATTAAATATTCTGATTCTGACGTACGGTGCGGAAGAAGTACAACATATATTTACTTGAGATGGAACATCTCATATGCACGGGTGTTCGGGATGTCCATTGACGCGTACAGAGCAAACACGCAATGACACGCATACACACGTGGTAAATATATAAGTTATGCATGGTTTTGGTTAATCATCTCAGGCTGAGCACTAAAAAAGTAACGGGAAAATTGGTTCTGTACTTAATTTAGCTCAAATTCCAGTATGTGGCAAATATTCTTCTCTGTAGGAACAGTTGGTGTGAAAGTGCTTCTCCCTACTGTGCGGACCAGAGGTCGCTTGAAGGGATCTCAGGAATAGTTATGTGATATTCGCTGTTTCTCTAACACGGTGGGGGTGGGTGAGGGGGGATGCGCTGCTCTGCGAGAGATCCGAATGGACTCTGCCTCGTAATGTGACACTGATAGCGCAATTTGGATGCATTTGGGGAAAAAGACAGAAAGCTCATGTCCTGTGACTCGTGCAAGCGCCTGTGTAATGTTTTGCTCTCGCTGGAGCCACCAGGGCCTTAATCGGAATGAGTGGAGAGTGAAAGTGACTGTTAATGTTTTGCAAAGTTGATGGCAGTGATTTAGTTTGCTGTTGTAAATAAACTTGTAAATAAAGCGGCGACATGGTCACGCGCATTGACGGAAATATAGCAGACTTACGTCGGCATCGGAATAATAAAATCATGCTTTGTGTGAGTAAAGGAACGCAGCCGCCATGGCGATGGCCCGCAGACAACAAATAACAATCACTTCTAGCGCTGTAATTGGCGTAAGTTTAAAATATTCGGCAAGGGAGGGATCTCTCTGCACGCATGCGTGTATGTGTGTGTTCACAGTCACCGTATGGGGAGTGGTCGTCTAGTGGTTAGAGGGCCCTGCACTACGAACCCGGTGACCCGGGTTCGATTCCCACTCACAGCCAACACCAGTGACGATTATCTGAACCGGTCCTGGGCCTCTCCTAGGTCGACTCAGCTTCAATTGAGTACCTGCTGCGGTGTGTAAATATATCACCACTGGGGAGACAAAGGCGGTCAGGCTTGGTGCTGGTCACCTACCCCTTCGTGTGCTGTGCCGGCCTTTACAGATGCTCGCTAATAGAATTTTCCCCAAAAGTCTGTTAAGGCTACATGGGGGATCTTTGTCTTTGTCACGGTCACCGTGAAAATACACGTGTGTGCATTCACGGTCACTGTGACAGCAGCCAGTGGCCTGCATACGAAATGCAAATCAAAATACACCCATATCACATGTAACAATTCTTACATTCACGTGTAAGTGGCTGTATTAAGCACAGTAAATTGTAGCGGTGGCGGCGCTGGCAGTGCACTACCCTGTGAACCGCGTGAGCTCAGTGTGGTTCTCGACCACGGCCGACTCGTGGTATCTGCATCCCACCCCTCGCCACACAACTCTTCACCAATCCGCACTGCTCTGTGACCTGCACGGTGAAGTATGGTCAAACGGGCATTCGTTCAGCCGCGGTTTTGACAAAGGGTGTTTAAGTCGGCGTGCGAGTGCGAGCGTCTGTAATTCTGCGTATCATATTGTTTAAAAGGCCAGCAGCTGAGAAGCCTATTTCTTTCGAGCCTGCTCTGTCAGAATGAATCCCGATTGTTTTGCTTGGAACACACGGTGCGGCAAAATATATCAACTCGGTTGTCGCCCACGAGCAAAGAGCTGCTCCGTGCCTCGTTTGGGCCTGGGGGGGATTGAAACTTCTCTGTGCCCGGATGCGTGTTGAAGACGGACGCTGGGGAAGAGCGATTTCATTTTTCAAATTTGATGCCGACAGTGGCCCACTGACCCCTGACAGTGGCCCACCGACCCCTGACAGTGGCCCACCGACTCCTAACAGCGGCCCCCTAACGGTGGCACACCGACCACTGACAGTGGCACACCGACTCCTGACAGTGGCACACCGACCCCTGACAGTGGCACACCGACCACTGACTGTAGCACACCGACCACTGACGGTGGCACACCGACCCCTGACAGTGGCACACCGACTCCTGACAGTGGCACACCGACCCCTGACAGTGGCACACCGACCACTGACTGTGGCACACCGACCACTGACTGTAGCACACCGACCACTGACAGTGGCACACCGACCCCTGACAGTGGCACACCGACCACTGACTGTGGCACACCGACCACTGACTGTGGCACACCGACCACTGACTGTGGCACACCGACCACTGACAGTGGCACACCGACCACTGACTGTGGCACACCGACCACTGACAGTGGCACACCGACCACTGACGGTGGCACACCGACCACTGACGGTGGCACACCGACCACTGACGGTGGCACACCGACCACTTACTGTGGCACACCGACCACTGACAGTGGCACACCGACCACTGACTGACGGCACACCGACCACTGACAGTGGCACACCGACCACTGACAGTGGCACACCGACCACTGACAGTGGCACACCGACCACTGACAGTGGCACACCGACCACTGACAGTGGCACACCGACCACTGACTGTGGCACACCGACCACTGACGGTGGCACACCGACCACTGACGGTGGCACACCGACCACTGACGGTGGCACACCGACCACTGACTGTGGCACACCGACCACTGACGGTGGCACACCGACCCCTGACAGTGGCACACCGACCACTGACTGACGGCACACCGATCACTGACAGTGGCACACCGACCACTGACAGTGGCACACCGACCACTGACGGTGGGACACCGACCACTGACGGTGGCACACCGACCACTGACGGTGGCACACCGACCACTGACGGTGGGACACCGACCACTGACGGTGGCACACCGACCACTGACGGTGGCACACCGACCACTGACGGTGGCACACCGACCACTGACGGTGGCACACCGACCACTGACGGTGGCACACCGACCCCTGACGGTGGCACACCGACCACTGACGGTGGCACACCGACCACTGACGGTGGCACACCGACCACTGACGGTCGCACACCGACCACTGACGGTCGCACACCGACCACTGACGGTGGCACACCGACCACTGACGGTGGCACACCGACCACTGACGGTGGGACACCGACCACTGACGGTGGCACACCGACCACTGACGGTGGCACACCGACCACTGACGGTGGGACACCGACCACTGACGTTGGCACACCGACCACTGACGGTGGGACACCGACCACTGACGGTGGCACACCGACCACTGACGGTGGCACACCGACCACTGACGGTGGCACACCGACCACTGACGGTGGCACACCGACCCCTGACGGTGGCACACCGACCACTGACGGTGGCACACCGACCACTGACGGTGGCACACCGACCACTGACGGTGGCACACCGACCACTGACGGTCGCACACCGACCACTGACGGTGGCACACCGACCACTGACGGTGGCACACCGATCACTGACAGTGGCACACCGACCACTGACTGGCACACCGACCACTGACTGTTGTACACTCATCCCCTACCACGGCAGTAGCATTCTGAGCTCCAGCAGTAGCAGACTGAGCTTAACATTGACACGCTGAGCTCAACAACAGCACGCTAACAGTGGAACACTGATCCTTGACAATGGTGCATTACGTATCCTCAACAGCACACTGACTCTCAACAGTAGCACAATGAGTTTCATAGTGGCCCACTAAGGATTAATACTAGCACACGGCCTTGGTGATGGCATGCTGACCCTTGATATTGGCACACTGAGATCTCTCCATATATTCTGTCTAGTACAGTGTCTTTTCCCAAATCTATATATTGCAACACCATTATATCTGCTTGCTTAAAAATCCACATTGCACATTGCTACTCTATGGGAATTTACCTACTTTTGAAAGTCCTTTAGATATACGCCACACACAATAGAACACGGCTATATATTCTACACATGCACAAACACACGGTC